TAGAATCCTTCGTATCTGATATCCAATTAGCATCACTGTATCCTTCAAGTACTGCTGAATATCTAGAATAATGTAATCCATAACTTATGGTATATCTTAATTACCTTAGAAACTTGTTTATTGCAGTCTAATGGTTCTTTCCTAGATTACTTGTATATCTACTCAATTTATTAACTGAGTATGATGTGTCTGATCGTATGCAATTCATCAAATATATTAAGCTTCCTATAATGTGAGAATACTCAAGTTGTGATATATTAGGACCAATATTTTTCGACAAATGAAGATTTACATCAACAGGAGTCTTTATAAGACTACTATATTCCTTATTAAACTTTTCTAATATTTTCTCAATATAGTGAGATTAAGATAATACTAGACCATCTAATTTTCTAGAAATCTTGATTCCTAGTATGACACCAGCTATGCCTAAATCTTTCATATCAAAATTTTTGGTCAATATCTTTTTAGTAATTTTGATTATAACATCATTACTACCCATTATTAGCATATCATCCATATATAGGCACACAATGACATATCTATTTTGAGTGTTTTTCACATAAACACATTTATCACACTCATTAATTTTAAAACCATTTGACAACATCACTTTGTCAAATTTTTCATGCCATTGTTTAGGTGCTTGTTTCAATCCATATAAGGATTTTTCAAGCTTGCAACACCTTTTTTTCTTTTCCTGGAACTATAAAACCTTCAAGTTCGTTCCATATAGATTTCCTCCTCTAATTCACCATTCAAGAAGGCAGTTTTAACATCCATTTGATGTATTTCTAAATTTTGCAATGCTGCAATAGCTAATAACAATCTAATGGATGTTATTCTTGTGACTGGTGAATATGTATCAAAATAATCCAAGCCTTCCTTTTGCCTGTATCCCTTAGCAACAAGTCGGGCTTTATACTTATCAATTGAACCATCAGGCTTCATCTTCCTCTTGAAAATCCATTTATACCCTAAAGGTTTAGTACCAGGAGGAAGATCCAACGGCTCCTAAGTATGATTTTGCATGATGAATTCAATTTCACTATTTATGGCTTCTTTCCATAAAGGAGCTTCAGGAGAAAACATAGCTTCCTTATAACTTTGTGGCTCATTTTCGAATATATATGTCAAAAAATCAGGACCAAATGACTTAGACATTCTAGCTCTTTGGTTACGTTTAGTTTCATCCTTATTTTCATCATCTATAGATTCTTGGTCTATATTCTCTTGTATATTACTATTAGCAATATCATGATTTCTTTTAAGAGGACTTTTATAAGGAAATATATCCTCAAAGAAATAAGCATTCATTGACTTAATAATTGTATTGACATGGATGTCAGGAATGTTTGATTTATGTACAAAGAAACGATATGCACTACTATTCTGTGCATAGCCTATGAAAATACCATCAAAAGTTTTTGGTCCTATCTTAACTTTTTTACGAGTAGGAACCGCAACCTTAGCTAAACACCCTCACACTTTTAAGAATTTATAGGAAGGTTTTTGACCTTTCCATAATTCATAAGGTGTCACATTTGTTTTCTTTTGAGATATTTTGTTGAGAACATAATTAGCAGAGAGCAAAGCTTCCCCCCACAAATTCTGGGTTAAACCAGAACTTATCAACATAGCATTCATCATTTCTTTTAAGGTACGATTTTTGCGTTCAGCAACACTCTTCTGTTACGGTGAATAAGGAGCGGTAGTTTGGTGAATAATACCATGTTCTGAGCAAATATCAGCGAATGGTACTTCATATTCAGCACCTCTATCACTTCTAAACACCTTTATCTTTTTACCAAGTTGATTCTCTACCTCATTCTTGTAATGTTTAAACATTTCCAAGGCTTCATCTTTACTTCTTAACAAGTATACATAACAATATCTTGTGCAATCATCAATAAAAGTAATGAAATACTTTTTCCCACCTCTAGTTGGCACAGATTTAAAGTCACAGATATCACTGTGAATTAATGCTAGAGGTTCAGTACTTCGCTCTATAAAGTGAAATAAGGTTTTAGTCAATTTTGCTTCTATACATGTTTGACATTTTTTATTTAAATCAATACTAAATTTAGGTATAGACTCCATGTTAATTAATCTGCGAATCGTATCATAATTAACATGTCCTAACCTACCATGCCGCACATCAAATGATTTAATCATATAAGCAGAAGAAACATTAGCTTTATTATTATTATTAATAGCTTTGGGTACAACAGTCATTACATTGAACTTAAATGGTCCATTACTTGGATACCCTTTGCCCACATACATCCCATTTTTAGTCAGCACAAACTTGTCAGATATAAAGACCAGCTTAAACCCATTCTTGCTTAGAAGTGACCCAAAAGACCAAGTTCTTCCTGATGTCTGGTACATGCAGCACATTATGAAGAGTAAGCTCTTTCCCTGAGGTCATTAGTAGCTTGATCTTTCCTTATCCTTCAACCTTTGCAGTAGAAGAGTTCCCCATGTAGAGTTGTTCTTCATTATCTATAGCTTCATAGGTAGTGAACATCCTCTTTTCAGAGCAAACATGATGAGTAGCTCCTGTGTTCACCCACCATTCTCTATTGTTGCTCACCAAGTTGATTTCAGAAACCACAGCTGAAAGATTTAGCTCTGACACATTAGCTATCAGCTTATCTTCCTTAGTAATATGCACCTGAGTGGACTTTTTCTTGGGGTTGTGTTGTGCTTTGTGGCTACGACAGTCTTTAGCTTGGTGCCCTAGCTTGCCGCATATGAAGCACTTCCCAGTGAACCTCTTGTAGTTTCCTTTCGCCAGAGTACTTCCACTTCTTATTCTTCTGTCTAACTTCCACTACATTTGCCTTTGACACCATTGAAGAATTCCCGACTTTCTTTTTAGATGTGCGGTTATCTTTTTTAATTCTTAGCCTGACAATCAGGTCTTCGATTCCTATTTCCTTGCGCTTATACTTCAAGTAATTTTTGAAATCTTTCCAAGTAGGTGGTAGCTTTTCAATTATTGAAGCTACTAAAAAGGATTCACTCAATGTCATCTTCTCAGCATGTATCTCATGTAGGATTAGCTAGACCTCCTGCACTTGGCTCATGACTGTCTTGGAGTCTATCATTTTGAAGTCCAGGAATCGTCCAACCACGAACTTCTTCAAGCCAGCATCCTCTGTTTTATACTTTTTGTCTAGTGACTCCCAGAGCTTTTTAGCAGTATTTATTAGACTGTACACATTATAGATGTAGTTCTTGCATAGGAAGTCTCCATGTTTCCATGTATCAACAGCTCCTAGCTTGGTAATGTCAGTCTCACCCTCATCTAGCACTGGGACAGGCTCAGTTAAATACTTGCTTAGATTCAGAGTTGTAAGGTAGAACATTATTTTCTGTTGCCACCTTTTAAACTCCGTTCCATTGAATTTTTCGGGCTTCTCCCCATGACCGACGGGAACATTAGGCATAGTAGTACTCGTATTTGCCATTTGTCTGATATATATTAAATATACAGGCCACAGTCAAATTTACAGAAATAAAATAACAATAATATTTAAATAATTAAACTATAGTATAAGCGAATTCTGTCTTAAGATTGTTTTCCAAAATATGGTCTATTATACTATATACTATAGTATTATTTATTTAAATATTATCTATAAATATAAAATAATAATCTATAAATATATAATTTCTTATAATATATAGTTTAATATAACCAAATAAAACTATAAAATAAATGAAATTGATTAAAAGTCGAGGCTAGAATTTGATTATACGTCCTTAAGACAGATTCGCCCAGCTATGGTGCTAACGGACTCATTGACGTCTATCTCCCAGGATACAACGACTTATCTTCCTTTGGTAATAGCACTGCAAACCAAAGGAATAGGCGAACCGACTCGGTGTAGTACTCTCTGACTCGAACTCGGACTCAGAGTGACTGACTAAGGGTCGAACCCAAATATTAAGGCTTGAACCCACAGACTAAAGAGAGAAGGAGGAAGAAGAAAATTCAAAAAAAGAAAAGAATTCTCTGAATTTGGTGTGATTTGGAATGAACCCAAGAAGGGGTATTTATAGGCTAGATGGTGCCTTTTCCGAATGGGTACAACCATTGGTTCACAATGGTTCAGGAAAAACTGCAGGTGGTTTATTTTGCAAAACGGTGCACCCATTGGTTCATAATGGTTCATAAAAAAAACTGTTTTATGGTTTTAATTTAAATTAAATACCAAAACTGTTTTAATTCATTATGAAGCCCAGCAAACAAGCCCAATTTGACCATCTTAATAAGCCCGGCAAAAATAAAATTAAAATCCAATCACACAAGCCCGGACAGGCAGCGCGCGCATGTGGTAGTTGGTTCGGACCCAAGCTTGACTAGGTCCTCCCTCTTTTAAAAACTTAGGTGCCGTTGGGCCCAAACCCAAATCCCATACTGGGCTTATTTAAACTTAAATTGGTTTTAATAATTTTCCGATGTGGGACAAACATTTCCCACATTTTGCAAACCTATTTAGGCTTTATCAAACACCTTATTTTAGAGCTAATTTCTCATTCACCCGGAAACGAATTTGAGAAAGTAAATATACCACGTTCATCTCCTTGCAGAGAGGAATGCGCTCGTCTATAGATCCGCAAAAAATTCTTAGTGGAATCTATTTAAAATCTCTTTCAAAGTTTATGTTTTTAATGCCCCTGTCTCCAACATATGTAGCACTTAATTACCAAATTAAAATCAACCACAATAGGAATCAGTAGTTCTGTGGGAGTGCCTGTTGCCACAGCTGTTGTGATCCTGAATCAATTTGAGACCACCGAATCTGTCTCTTAGATTTTACATTGAAAAATTTTAATCGAAGTCTTAGATTTGAAATCGGAAAATTTTCTTTAAATGACAAATTCACAGATTGCTTCCGAACAACACTTTTCCTTCCTTGCTCAGTCAGGAAGAGCATTGTTCCACTTGTCAGAAATTGGAGATTCACATTCAAGAAAGGAGATTCACATTCAAGAAAGGAGATATATTATTCAGAAATGGCAAATCAAATGATTATTACATCTATGCCATATATGAGTAGCGAACATAATAATAAATATAGATAACCAAATAAGAATATGCTCAGGTTGAGTGGACAAACACCACCACCAACCCCCAATGCTAATACTGCTACCCCACCAGAACTAGTACCCATCCATTACCACATAACTCAAGGAATAGGGTTTGAGGAGAACAAGTTCATCTCCACCCTAAAACTACAATAACTTAGAATTTTTAATAATTAGTTAGCTAAGACTATCTAAGATTAGAATCATGCCCTTGGACTCAATGACAGTGTTATGTCTTGAAAAACCTTCAATCTCTTGTCAATCTTTCTCTGCTGAAACATTCCTGAATAGTTGTTGTTGCTACTTTCCACCTCCTTCTCCTTAGTTTCATTGCTTGACCCCAAAACTGCAGCTATAATGGCCTCCTCAAAGTCCTTGCTGTCTGGCAGCAACTCTGTCAACTTATCCCCTCTTTTCTTGGGCGACATTGATCGCCGCCTCGCCTTGTTTTCGGGTTCCATAAAAGGCTTCCTCAACTCCCCCTCCTCCATTTCATTAGGCCTCATTGTGTTAGCAGCATTTCCAGACCTGGTTCTCTTCAACCTCTCATGCAATGTGGATGAATAAAATGGCGGTGCGTCGATATTGAGCGAATTCCAATAAGGAGGAACAGATGGTTTGGCACTTTTTTGACCGTTAACAACTGTTGATTTTGCCATTATGTTTGAATTGATATTCTCATCAGCAAACTCATCTTGGGGTTTAGATGAATCAGTTGTTGGCAATACTGTTTGTTCCTTGCAAGGTTGAGGCTGCCAAATTGAGGAGGAACCAAGGAAGGCGTCGAAAAGCTTGCGCTGCTCGACCCTGTCTCCGCCTTTATTCATCATTTCAGACTCGAGGTCTTGAAGCATTTGTTGTGCTCTCTCAAAGGCCTTGAGATGGGAATCCACACCCCTCGGACCATCCACGACGGCTGGTTTCACTCGCCGGAGTGTCTCTTTGGCCTCTGTAATTCTCCCTTGTTTCATCAAACAGATGCCCAGATTGCACATCTTGTTATTATCTGGCGCAATTAGTAACGCCCTCCGGTACGCATCTTCGGCTTCAATGTAATTGTTCTGCTGCATCAATGCCCATCCCAAGTTCCCCTGCAATATATATATATTTCTTCTTGTTAATTAACCTCCCAATGAATGTTAAAAGAACATAAATATAAAAATTGGAGGGGGCATGTAAAATGCATACACAAATTGAAACATGTTTTGGACTAAACAAAGGCCACATGGGGCGTATTACATCAACATACACAAATTGAAACATGTTTTAGATCAAAAGAAGGCCACGCGCATGAGGGGGCTTATTACACATACACAAATTGAAACTTGTTTTGGACAAAAAGGTCATACGTTTGGGGGCGGCCTTTTAGATGACATACCCAAATTGAAACATGTTTTGGACCAAAAGTAGGCCACGCGAGGGGCCGTGTTAGATGACATGGACAAATTGGAGAAAAATATTTGCACTCTTACCAGTAATCGAGTGGCTTCTTGTTCAACAGAAACTTGAAATTTCTTCCCTTGGGATCGGGCTGTCTTAGTCCGCTTCCCATTGAAAGCCATGCCTTGTTGAATCAAAAACAACTTGTGCCTCAATAAAGCTATTTGGTCATCCAATCTCCCACATCTCTGTTTATGGAGTTGTACAATCAGAAATTGAAACAAAAAATGAACAAAGAAAAACCCCTTTTCAATCTATTCGGAATTTTAAGAGTACCTTGTAAAGATCCAATAGTATGTTGTCAAGAGACTCTTGGGCTTGATCTGAACACCGACTTCTCAGAGATTTGATGGCTTCAATGGCTTCTTCGGCCCGATTTTGCTGCTTCATTACAATGGCCATGTCTTTGAGAGCACTATCCACTCTGTCTCCAGCATTAATCGCTGCCCAGAACAGCGGTATCGCCTTCTCCGGATCCTTCTCTACCAACTGATCAAACAAAATAGTCCGGGAAAAATCAAAACCCAGAAATACCCATTAGACAAATCGACAATTTAAACAGGAAAAAACAGTTTTTGACCAAGATTGAGGCCATAATTAAGAATGTTTTGCGAAACAGTCAGTGAAAATCAAAACCCAGAAATACCCATTAGACAAATCAACAATTTAAACGGGAAAGAGCAGTTTTTGACCAAGATCGAGGCCATAATTAAGAATGTGATGAGACCCAGAAACTTTACCTGAACATTTTTGGCTCTAACATAGGGCGTGTCACCAACTGGGACTTTGTGGGTGATATGAAAAGTATCGGAGTGAGTTCTGGAGAAAGTCTCAGAGCGAGTTCTGGAGACCCCAAGAGGCTTGGCTGGGGAAGAAGGGGCAGATTTAGTGGGTCTGAAACCAGGCGGACCGTTCCACATGTCCTGCAACATCTTTCTTTGATTACTTCTTCTTTTTTTTCGATTTCAGAGAGATGAGAAGATATGTGGAATGAAATCTGTACTCCTTACGCCAAGATGCAAAAAATGTAGAGAAGGAGGAGAGTACGAAGCTTGGGAGAGAGAGAGGAGTGAAGGAAAGGTTATAGAATGGGATGCAATGTTTGAATTTTTAGACCGTTGCATTAATGTTACCGTTTTACTAGCCGTTGTGTGTCTCCTTTTTTATTTTTATTTTTTTTATTTTAACGAAGAGAGAACTATATTTAGTAGCAGTACTTATAGTACTAGTATAAAACGCGTTTAAAACTCCAGCGTAAGAAAATTAAAAAATACAATTTCCGAATTTTTTTTCTAAAAATATTATTACACCCCTGAATTTTACTCTAATTACATTCAAGAATGACGATTGTCACCATGATGTTGGTAGGTAGCCGCGTTTAAAACCATTTAGCCCTTATTTTAATGCATTTTCAATATAAAAAAAAATTAAAAGTGAAATAACTAAAATACCCTTGCAATAATCTTAAGTTGCACAACTGCTCAGCAGGCGCGGAGCCAAAAAAATTTCTCATATAAATGTATATGCATATAAATGTTTGTACATATATATATCGTATGTATTGGTGGATATATATAAAGAAATGATATTTTTGGGATGAGGTAAATTAATTACTTTATATATAGAGAATATAAGGAAACAATTTAAGAAAAAAAATATAAGAAAACATATTTATATAGAATGTAAGGGAGGAAGAAAATTCAGGGGTATTATTATTTTACACATTTCCAAAAAAAAAATTATAAAAATATATATATAAAAGAAAAATGTTAAAGATCATAAATTGTATCACAAAAATAAATCAATTAGGTGGCCAATGAAGTGGGTAATGATTTGCCGATTTGGTAACTTGTGTTAAACAATTTCCTTGAGAGAACAAATAGATTAGGTAATTATCATTGATTCTCTTAAATCTTTTTTTCCCTTAATTTTCTCATAAATCCTCATCCTCATAGAATTTAAATTCGTACATTATTTAATAACACAAATTCAATTCATCTTCATATTAAACATCATTTCTCTTAAATATTCAGGAAGTACAATTTTGTTTCTATAATTTCTTTGAACTAACGTTTTTGGGGTGACTTCTTTATTGTGAATAACAACCCTAATTTTCCGTTACTACATGTTTTACTTTACATTTTATTTCGTATACAATTTGTATAGGGGCATAAAGGCCATTTCCAGTAATGTGAAACCCACAATATTTCTCATCTTTCTGCCCTTGTGCCAAAAAAAAAAATAATAATAATAATAAATAAATCGGAGTGACTCTCTAATTGGACACAACGTGACTAAAAACTTGAAAGTTTTTTAGAGTTCGCATTTAGCACTTCCTCAATCAGGGAAATACTGTTTCAAACTTATAATTTAAATCCCTTACAATTTAAAACTTTGGTTGTTTTCCATTGCTCCAATCGCCCAGAACTACAGTTCATCTTTGTTGTCAGATTGTGACACAGTGGTCCAGTTTGACACGTCACATTTCCTTTTTCTCTTCTTTATAAAATTTGACACTAAAACACCTTATATCTCACAGTCGATTCTCCACCATCCATAATTATAGTCAGTTTCTTGACAAGCTACTTTTTATACCTATAAACTGCGCGTCTTTTTTGTGCATAAGATTTTTTATACATACATGCCTTCGTTGAAGTTTGAACTCACGATCATATTTTTATAAAATAAGAGTCTAATTCTACTAAGTCACTGACCAGTTGATTCTTTGTGTATAAGATTCTTTCCATAAAAAGGAAAGAAAAAAAAAAAGAAAAGAAAAAGGATTCCCTCCTTCCCCAATGTTTATGACTTGTTGGACTCGAGTTGTTGTTCATTTGATGGGAATGGCATGATACTTAAAGCATCTCCATTAGGCATCTTCAAAATCCAAGTCTACAAATTTATAGGCTTTTTTAAAGAGTGCTAGAATGGTGCGCTTTTACATTTTTTTCAAAAAATATAATAATAATAATATATAATTTTTATTTTGTTAATATTAATTATTTTTTTTTTTTAAACAACTATATTTCAAATGGTTATATTTCAAACAACTATATTAAAAAAAAATTAAAACAATACAATATCTATTAAATTAAAATAATACAATATTCATTATAAATTAAGAAATTAATTTTTCTAAAGATTAAAAAATCATATGGAAAACTTGAGCTAATTCTACGGGGAAGCTTGAGCTAGAGCACGAACCTCTCTCCCTTTATCGTTCAATCAGCCATGTTTTCCCTGCTAGTGTGGGCATCCATTCTGAATCCCTTTGCATGATCTCCATCTCTTGAGATCTTTCTTGTTTTTGAACTCCATTTGTCTGATCTTCTCTTTCTCCATTAAGCCTGCCTTTATTTGGGATTCATAATGGAGTGTTGCATCCTCAAATATGCTCTTAATTTTACTTTAGAGTAATAATACGTGCACTGAATTGTTACACCGAATGTTTCTGATGAGTTATTTATATATAATACATGTAAGTGGAGGGTCCCACTTCTTTATTTATGAATAAACTGACCAATTAAAAAAAATAGGTCTAATAATTCATTATAATAAATCGCATAAATAAAGAAATGGACCCTCCACTGTATTATGCATAAATAACCAATCAAAAACATTCGGTGCAAGTATCATTACTCTTACTCTTTATCAAAAAAAAAAAAAATTGCTATTAATTTCAGTATTGTGCAGAAAAATACAAAAAGAAAAAAAAAGCCCATAAAACCAATTTTTGGCCTTTTTTTGTCAGCCAAACAGGCCCTTAGAGCCATTGCACCCAATTTTTTTTTTTTCTTTAAAAAAAAACCTTTTGGGGCCCACATTGGCAGGCTGGGTCTCCAAAATTGGGCCCACTATTCCGAATCCAATTGGAGGACTTTGGGATCAGAAAATTGTTCCTTAGAAAGACAACAGAATTCCTTTCCAGAGAGAAAAAAAAAAAAAAACAAAGGGGGAATCCTTTCCCCACAGTACAATACTTTGCAATGCAGAAAAAGTATGAGACAAATTCTATTATGCATCAGAATTTGGAAATAAGAACTTAGGATTTACAACATCTTAAATATTAGGAATACATGATTTAGCATAAAATATTACAGAAATCAATTGTAAAGAATGCCATACAAATTTTTTTAAAACAGGGAGAAGGGCGAAGAAGAATAATTAAACCATCGTGATCTGGGGATCACCAAGCATAACAGAACACCATGAAGAATGCTGCAATTAATTACAATGCTCTAAAACTGTCTGCTTTATCAAGTCTGGCCGTGCCACAGCTTGAAGATTCGCCCATTGCATCAAGAGAAGCAGCTGTTTGTGATGGTTCCCTCTTTAAAGAAGTTGGCAACCCAGATATCTCCTGAAGAATGTTTTTTAAGAAATTAGAAAACATGAATCACCAAAACAAGAATCTAGAATAAAAATGTCTTCATCAACATCGTTGATTAGGTGCATTGTCCACATATTAGATGAACCGTGATGTTTCATATAATATGCCTGCAAAAGAAACCCATCAAAATTGAAACCAAGGTTTGTTCTGCTAGATTTATCCTTGTCGAATAATTCAACACCACATTTATTCTTCATGTTAAAACAAAGAAAAGTCCACACCGTAGTAGTTATTAACCACAGCCAGCCTCATCTGCTCATTACTATCACCTTTCACACCCGTAAAGGGAAATTTTTAAATTTATTCTACAACCAGATGGGAGAGCAAAAATGAAATATAAGCAAATAATTGTAAATCTAAGAAAAAGGAAATTAAGCTGGCATATCTGCAGGTAATATCCACACTACCTTCATTAAATGCAACCTCAAGTCGCAAGGTCGAACTTGGTTTCCAATACATGCCATCACAAATTTTGAATATTGAAACAAAACATCAGCAGCAGCTTGCTTCTTTTCTTCAATCTGCAGATGAATAATACTACTTATGATTACAATGATGAGAAAGACCTGAAATACCAAGGATTTAGGTATACTTTTTAACGGTACAAAACTGATGAAGACATGTGCAGCATGAATAAAAAATCCAGTAGTATATTAAGTTTTATAGAAAGGAAACAATAAAGGTGAAAAGAGGAGGAATGGCATGTGAGGAGCACGGAAAGTTTTGGTAAAGCTGGATCTAAATGTTGGTTAGGTAAGCATTTTGAAGTAAGAGTAGCTAAGGAATCCTGTAGACCATCCCCATGGTGAACCTGACCTGTTGGCCCGTTAGCTTTTCCAACGATACTAATGTATTTAAGTTGTTATGTACGATCACAACAAAAACACACATTTGCTCTTCTTCTGGGCAAATAAGATACTGAGATCTTTTCCAAGAATATGATTAAGCTTCTAAGATCACTTCCGGCTCTAAGACTTCTTTTTTTATTAGTCCCAGGAAAGCCCCTAAGGCAGGTTTTTGCTTGAATCAAGGTCCCAGCATGCGCACACAATGGTATCTCTAAAAATTCACTAAATTCTCTGTGCGATTTCCAGGATGTGACAAACTCAAAACAAACTAATCATCAAACAAAACTAATATAGCTTGATGAAACAGTAGACTCCACGAGTCAAAAACATATCCTAGTTAAAAACTTTTCCATTTGATTAAGTAAACATTTATATTTCCTAATAACCATGCCTCCTTTCAGCAGGCATTATGTTTTCTGCTTAATTCAATTAACAGTTTTTCTAATCCAAACAACAAGATTAATGGGACAAAATCGCATCCATTTTTTTTTTTCTTTCAAACACTTGTGTCATGGATATTTATTGGGTGGTTCAAATTCCAGGAAATTAGTTTGATCATTCACATGAACTAAAACGGACACTATTGGAAATTGGTCGGATGTTATACTCAAGTACGTAAAGAACTTAAAGGAGTTGATAACAAGACATAAGAGATGACCATGCTGGCTTCGTTGCAGAATGGAACTCGTCTAATCTTAGACCTGGAAACACTCAAGACTTACCATAACACAACAAATTTTCAGCTCTGCACAGACAAGCTACTGTGGAGGAGAAATGGAAAGCAACATTATAACCGATAAATGATCTTCGCAAAACTTCCTGTATGCGTTGAATGTCAACATTTTTCTTTCTTTCTGGTAACTGAAGTAAAAGGCATAGAGGGAATGCAACTAATGTCCATGCAATGTATGACAAAAACCTATACATTAAAAAAAAATGCATATTGTCAGTGAAATTAAAAATAGACACAAGGGAAGATCCACTTTCCCTGTAATCCAGCTGACAAAAACTCTCGAGTTTATATAACAGTCTCCACTCCCTCAAATGAACTCTAATTGCTTCTCCTCCAAATAAACCATACAAAGAAATGGACGATGTATTCTAAGGTTTCCTTTTACTCCAACAGGCTCCACTCCATTCCCTTTAAACACCCTCACACTTATTTAGGGAACACCCACAACACACCAAACAAAGGCAACACAAGAGAGTACACCTCTTTCATAACTCCATCATGAACAAAAAGATGATCCACTGACTCAGCCACCTCCTCACACATGCAACCCTTCTTCATAAAATGGGCAAAAAGAGGATCTTCGAGGAAAACTGTTTCGTGTGAAGAACCCTAACTTATGCTACCTTTGTAGCCTAAACTGCTTTTCAAGGAAACCTACAATCTGGTTTTCCAACCAGCGCCGTGTACTTTGATCACAAACCTTCCTAACTAGAAACATCTTTTCGCATCTTATCATACCTCTCATTTAAGCTGTGCACCATGTAAAATAAATCGAACAGTCCAAAACAACTCCGATTCAAAATTTAGCATTCCAATACAAAAAATAGTTTCTCCAACTCGTCTCTGACAGTCCATGACCCATGCTACCACTTCTGAAATGGTCCAAGGAGTCTTTCAAAGTAGCTTGCCCAAACCATTTTATCACGCTAGAATCTCACCTTATTTATTCCCCCTTACTTTGAAGAGAACTTATTTAAGAAGTTCATCCCAATATTTCCTTAAATCCTCCCAAACACTCGATACCAAATGGAGAATTCAACTACCCGTGCATCAACAACTTATTGATGTCCTTATCATAAAAGATCGGAGGGTCCATACAAACTTGATCAGACACAGGGACTTGGGGAGAAAATTGTAAGGCGTGATCGGAGAAAATGAAAATAGTTAAACCAAGACGTTGGTGACTTCACTTCCAAGGAAACATCAATTTCAGGTGATTTCATATATGGTTGATCTATCTAAGACTACATTAACTCAACTAAAAACTAATTGTAGCAAATCATTGCAAAAATCCACGACTATTGTGGCGTGAGATCTCAGGGTGAAAAAAAAAAGGAGCTTTCAAAAATATCAGATCTAAAATCCATTAAGCTCCTTCATGCAGCTAAGAAAAAAAGAGAAGCATATAAAATTAAAACCTAATGCATAATTATTTCCATTTAGAGGTATGGTTGGGTTATGCATAATTGAGTTGAATTCCTTGTTCCTGTTGGAAGGTGTTTTAAAATATACGGTTCCAACAATTTGAAGGTAATTGCCTCATATTTTATTATATGTGATAAGTGTCATATATTTCTCTAACAAAATTTTGTGGTTTTTGTGAGGAAAATTTATTAAAGCTCTAGTAGGTCACATTCCTGATTAGATCATGTTTTGTAATGAACGAGAATATTGCAAAAAAAGTTTTTCACTTCAAGCTTCTAACATCAGATTTTAAAAGACAATGAGAAAACATAAACTTGATTTTCGAATTGGTTCACAAGTTAAATAGAATTTACTAATCAGACAACGTTTCATTTGGCAATCTAACATGAAAGCTACGGAATTTTTCACTTCATCCCATGAGGTATCACAACAACACCTGAACTTCAAAATATAATCTACCGAGAGGTTCAGAATACACTCTAGAACTCTATCCCCACAACCCACCTGAAACCCTAATCTCTAAATTATGACTCCTTGAATCCACAAATTCATAATAGACTAAACTAATATAATATTAAATTTGATCAATCAGAAACAATTAAATACAATCTGAGGATTTATTTATTAGGGTTGAGATAGAACTAAAAGTGAGGGACATTTCATAATTTCAAGGGTTGATTTTGTTAGAATGAATGGAATGAAAATGGCGTCGATTATATTTGGGAAAAGGGGTCCAATTTGAAGTACAAAACGAAAGAGAGCAGAAAAAACATAACAGATTATTACCTCGTAATCTTCTTTCATGGTCGATGATAGATACTCGTACTCCACAAGCGATTTCTGTCTGCTTCTTCAACTCTTACAATAATGGTACCACTGTATTTACCAGAGCAAAAGAGACGCGCATACATACGAATTACGATACGAGGTGGTTTGTGTTTGTCAAATGATCGCGAAACAAATACGACGTCTGTCACTTCACCGTGTGCGTTTCAAAAATTGAATATAAAACCACAACCGACAGAGCAACTATTCGTTTTGCTTCGTAGCTTATCACCCAAGGTCGCAGGTTCGAAGCCTCCAATGTCCTTCCACCAAAAACAAGTGTTTAGGACAAGCCTTAAATCCAATCTTTCTATTCATGGATTTAAAAAAAAAAGCATGATAATAACAATTTTGTTCTCATTTAACTGTATAATTACTGAAAAATAAAATTATATTTGAAAAAAACAAGTAAAATTCAGAATACAGATCACTGAATCTCATCTCCAACATAAAAATACCAAGTTCATTTTTCTTAGTTAAACTCACAAATTACTCTCAAAGAATTATTTGCCCCCAATAAAAAATACTAAGTGGAAAAAAGAAAAAAAAAAACCCAAGAAAAAATCTTAGTTCCTCAAAAAAGTTAAAAAAAACTAGTAAGGTTTATGTATTTAATAAGTTGAAGAAGACGGCATATGTATTAGTAACAAAATGACTACATCATTCCAAAAATCCCATTCAAAAAATTTGTTGTGAACTACTACTACTAGGAAGACAGGAATATGAGAAGCTTCGATAACCCGTACACTGAGTTCGGAAGAAGTGTGAAATCTGCACCTTAAAATTGAAATTGGAGGAAAAGTAGTTCGAAGTCCAATTAGACACATAGCATTACAAATCCATGCCTTGCAAAATTCACTGATTTGTGAAACAACAAACGAACAATTTCAGAACTTAAATCATTATAACGAGAGAATAGCAAAGTCTCACATTCCGAACCCCGGTACAAAAGCTTACTGATCACCATTTTAATCCGCGCATTAAATCCAGAAAAAGACTTAACATAACAGAATTTTGCCTCGGTATCTCAAAAGATTTCAAAGTACAGTATCATCAGTAGGCAAAACCAAAGAAAAAAAATTGAGAAAATTAGGTTTCCTTAGGAGGGCCCTTCTTTGCAGCCTCAGCAGCTGCTTTCTCTGCTTCAATCTCAGCAACAACAGCGTCGATTTCAGCTTCATCAAGTTGCCGCAGACCATGGTCCTTTGTCATAACAGCAACTTCTATGTTCTTTCCCCCACTCTCAACAACCTAAATGCAAGATAAACACAGTTCAGAAGTGCCACAAGGATAAACAAACAAATCTTAACAGCATGCTCCTTTAATACAAATATATTTTGATGCATCCACATCTGGCCAGTGCTTCAGATTGGAATTGCAAGAGTATAAATATAAAATATATAATTACAGCGCTTTGGCTTTAGTACGGTTGGGGACACAATGAAACCAAAAGGCAAACCTAGCCTTGAGAAATAATTTGTTTGCGAGCGTTTCAGGTTTGGGATTGGTATTAAAGGAGTATGAATATAATTACTTTGCTTCAGGTGAGTACAGTTGGGGACATGATGAAACCTAGAGACGATCCTAAACTTCAGAAATAATTTGTTTGCAAGTGTCTTAAAATTTTATGAACAGCCGCATCAAATGTACATTGTTACCACCAAAAGGCCTAACTATCCAATGCCCAGGCAGCATCAGACTTGCATGCACTTTGAATACTGCAAGAGAAGAAGAAACCACTCTTCCCAACTCAGTTTTGGCTAGGGGTGACAAATTATGACACGATCCGCCAACATGACTCAAACACGAGATAAGCAGGTTTAGGTTGACCTTAAACGAGTTCGGATCATAACCGGATTGACAAGATTAACCCGTTTACTTAACCGTGTTGGGTTAAGGTTGAGTAGTTCAACCCGTGTAACCCGTTTAACTCAATATGTCATAATCGTGAATATTACCTGGGTAATATGTTACATGTTTAAACCCAATTACTATGAATAGTTAAAGTCATTTCAACATAAATCGTTACTACACCTTATGATTTTTCTTCTTATTTTGAATATTTGGATTAATTGTGACAAACTTTTTCTAGTATTTATTATTTGATTGAATATTAAATGTCTCATTTAGATAAACAGGTCATTAAACAGATTAACACGTTAACCGTTTAATAAACAGGTTGGATTAGTGTTGAAGATTCCTGACACGATTATTAAATGGGTCGGGTTTGGATTTACCTATTTAGTATAATACCCTTATATCGACATGACACAATTATGACCCACGAACACAATTTGCCACTCCTAGTTTTGGCTGAGAAAGGAGTCTAGATACCGAGTAATCATCATTCAAATCAGTCAAAGCAGTATAGGTTCTTTCCCAATTAGGAAAGTCAATAAATCTTAACTTATACTGGTAACATTGTGCGGTCTTAGGAGCACAAATCATTAAAGAGGTCAATCAATAAAGTGGTCTAAAGACTCTAAACAATGATTTCATGAGTCTAAGCCAATCAAGTGCTCTCAAAAAATGAGTTCATGAGTGCTTGGTAAGTACATGATAGTCATTGTGTATCACATGATGAAGATGAATGTACTGCATTAGTCTTGTATCCTGAGAAAGAAAGTGCTGCACTTGAGGCAGTTATGCAATTGCTCAAAGAATCCTTTAAAACTAATGACCTTGCAGCCTAGGGCAACGAAATTTTGACATTGTAAAAGATATCAATATAAATTAATGACCACAAAAATACATAGAATTTTGTGGACCATAATCTGGAACATCTGCCTTAAATTATTGAAAAAATCTTCCAGCACAAGCATTATGTTCAGTAATTCAATTTGAAGCAGCTTACATAAATGCAGCAGGCTTCTTAAATATTAGGCCCAAAAGTAACGAAAAATTCAAGATTAATACAGAGCTTGTTGATGTTACTTCAGAATGAATTAGTGAACACCATTGTTATACTAGAAATTTTTTGTCAATGATGTTCCAAATTACAGTTCCACAAAATTATGCCACTTGTACTCATCTAGTTCATACTGTTCCTTTGATAACATACAAATTACTCTGCTCTCGGTTTGTAGGTGTGATCATCAGTTCTAAAGAGTGAGAAGTTGCAGGAATTTTTATAATACTTTCAAAATTGTTGATTGAAGTGAAAAACATCTTTCACTATTTTTATAGATAAGCATTATAAGGATTTGTTTGCTATTTGATAAGCAACAAAAATTGAATCTTAATCCCACCACTGCCAAACAAAAATCTCTTTGTATATCAAAGAGATCTATAAAATGGCTCATCCAAAAAATTTCCAAAACTCAAATATTTCCTACATTTAATTTTGGATCATCCAAAATCCATGTGAAATGCTGTCAACATATCCTAGAAAGCCTATGTGATAAAGTTGAAAAAATGATACAGAATCACACATGATTTGATTCATTAGGCTAAGATCACAGCAGAAGCAAAGAAACAGTAAAAAAGACGTGTAAAAGAAGTACGAAACCAAAAATGAAGGAATGAGTTAAAAGATACTCACTTCGAGCAGAGCACGAATTGCAAGCTTCACAGTTTCTTGACCAGAAGTTTCTTTGTAATTTTTCTCCAGAAATTCCCGCATAGAGTTAGAATTTCTCCCAGTTGCATTGGCTTTCCAAGCAGAAAATGTACCTGATGGATCTGTCTGATATAGTGACGGTACACCAGTATATGGGTCAAAGCCCACAATCAAAGTAGAAAGACCAAATGGTCTCACTCCACCACTTTGTGTGTACTTTTGTTGAAGACCAGCAATGTAACGTGTAATATACTCTACGGTTACTGGGTCCTCAACAGTAAGCCTGTGGCTTTGACACTCAATCCGTGCCCTGTTTATAAGGACACGTGCATCTGCTTTGAGCCCAGCACAGGCCAATGCAATGTGATCATCCAGGCTTACAATCTTCCTCACTGATCTGAAAACAGAGGGATCGAATAGTTGGCTAACAATTTAGGGAAAAATAGTTGGCTAACAATTTAGGGAAAAAAATAATTGGATAACAATCAATCCTCGAAAGTATCACAGATGGAAGAACACATCAAAGGCAAAAAGGGACTGCAAGCATTACAGCAAATCATTTGCGATCACAAGCTCTATCATGGATAGACGTTGAGGACAGGATCTGCAAAAATCCAATTCTGAAGAAAGATCTGGCTCTATCAGAGATTCATGGGTGTTTCTTTAGTAGAAATTTAATCCATAATTTGTATTTGTTATACACTACGATTTAGGATAACTCCTCGTGTTCTTTATTGAATTCAAATAAGCCTAGTTTATTCTAACAATGATTTTTGAATTTGTTCCCTCATTTCAATATCTTTTATGAAATTGTTTTTACATCTCCACAAAACACTAACAATTTGTTTGTAAGAATGCTATAAGATGTTACGCTCTGACTCAATGTTCATATGATATCCAACCACCCTCATAATGGATTGCCGCGGGGAATAATCAGAATCCGCCTCTTTCTAGTTAAGAGCTTACTTCTGTGATTAGTGTCATAAATTTTTGTGCTCTGTCCTCATGAGTACTCAGGATGAATACCAGAGAGTAAGAAAGGGGATATAGAAAATTGGTACGATCTGGAGAAATAGACCTATATTCAGTTGATTAATGTTTACCATTCCAATGGAGGGTAAACTGCCAGTTAAATACTTGGGCATGCCATTGATTTGCAGAGTCTAAAAGAAGAAAGAGACATAGACGCGTTCCGCTGGTCTGCAGCCCCGCCCTATAGAATAATAGTAATGCTTTTTTTTTTTTTTGCCAAAAAGGGGAGAATTAGATTAAAGGAAAAACAGAATATCCATTCATTCTAAACCTAAGAAAAGGGCTTCTTCATATACCTTAGAATATATATTCATTTCTTTTTTAGGCCGGCCACGAAGGAAGAGAAGGTTGAGTTATTCAATCAGGATAAAAGCTTGCCATGGGTATAGGGATAGTCAGAGTGACGTTCTTGCCTGCTTTCGCTTGACAATGGGATTTTGCTTGGCGATTTTCATTCTCCCCCTCATGCAAGTGAAAAGAGAAGTGGTCTCCCTAAGTGTGGGTAAGGATGGATTCTTCCTTGAAGAGGTCAAAAACTATATACACAAATCAATAGTGTCTAATTGCCAATTTCAGTCTCAATTTCCATGCATGTTGATAAACGTCTAGGTCATTAATTACTTAATCCGGGAAACAAATCAATTACCGTCCTCTTAGAATCCTAAACGACGACAGTGACCAATCAACCCGCCAGACTAATTTAAAAACCAGAGCTCGTCCTAGTTATCGAATACTATTAAATGGATCAAAGCTAAAACATCAACGAATACATCAATAAATTTCAAATACAAGATCTTCCAGATGCTAAGAAACAGGTAAAAGATATACAAAAACCCTAACTTTAATTTTATCATCAATTGTAAACCCAATTATGACCTAGACAAAGAACAATCGGAAGTAATATATATAGATAGAGAGAAACCTGGAGTCTTGGAGTTTGGCGGCTGACTTCTTCTCGACGCCGAGAACGATGGTGTCTGTACCGCGGACGCCGACGGCGGCGTTACCCTTGCGGACGGCCTCGAGGGCGTATTCGACTTGGAAGAGGTGACCGTCCGGCGAGAACACGGTGATTGCTCTGTCGTACCTCGCCATTTTTCAGTTGATAGCTTGGTGATGTTAGTGTTGAAAGCCCTAGTTTTTGCTCGTTCGATTTGATTTTTGGGAGATCAATATGTTGCTTTTTTTCTGCTTGCGATGCGATGGACTCAGAAGTAAAAGCGATGTGAACTTGGTGAACAAGGCAATAAAAAGAATTTTGTGATCTGGTGCGGACTGCTACATATTAAACTTCCTAACCCGCTAGTTGAGTACAGACACGTCATGGTTTAGGTGCAATAAAATGGACAAAAAAATTGGGTTAATCCTTAGGTTAAAAATTGATGACAACTATAAATATACATATACCATATTTTAAAATTATACATATATATATAAAACAAATTTAGCAAAAAATCAGTTTTAAATTAACGATGCATTATCCAAATTAGATTTAAATTGAAATTTTCAGCTCAAGCATAATTGTTTATTTTATAAAAAAATTAAATTAGATTGGAATTGAATTCAATTTAATCCATTCAAATTGGCTGACTGTTCTCTTTTATCATCTTTCATCTCTCTTGTATTTAGATGATATACTCTCCTCGTCAAAGGAAAAGGAGAAAATGAGTGTTCAAGCCCGTAGGAACAAAATAGAGTGAGACAGTACGATAAAAAAAATAAAAAAAAGGAAGAAAGAATTATTTGAAATGTACACGATCTTATAGCTGAAAACTAAATTGTAATTGATGGATTCTATTGATGTTTGAGCTATGCTAAGAACAATCACGACTGTACTTATTATTCTCCTTAATTGGAATTAATTTTTCACATTTGCTTTCATTTTTCCTTGTTTTCTCTTTGTTCTTCTTCCATTGCAATGCATGTTCTGCTTCTAAAAGTTTGACGCTAAAAGGAAAGTTTAATCTCAAAAACAACTCAAAAGCTAGAAGGTGAAACTCCTGATGCAACTCTGTTCCAGGATAGATTCAACACAAAATCATGTTTTTCCTTGCACCTATAGCATTCACAAAGACAAGTATTTCTATTTTATTGGACCGTCCATATAAATAAATCCAAGTATGGGTTTTTATAGACAATTTCAGTTCTTGTTTCTTCAGCATTTAGACCTCATTATTGGACACCCAGTTACAAAGAGATTCCTCCATCTTTTCACATACCATTTGAGATCATCAACCATCACTCGGAAACCTCTTGCAGAGGAAAAAATGTGCCCTTCAATGGACATTATTGTTCCCGTGAAGACTTTAACAGAAAAATCGAGATGCCATGTAACAGGCAGAAGGCAGACCCCTAAAATTTCAATAGGAAAGTCCGAATCTCCATGGGACCAAGCTCGACAACAAAAGTTGAATTATCAACAGGGCTGCCTCTAATTGCTGCAGGTTCCCCTCCACTGTTCCCTTCAACTTTCCAAGTCTTCGTCTTCATCTCTGACTTCTCTTGGTTTGTCGATAAGCTCATTTCTTTCACATCCTTTATCTGAAATTTTAATCTCAGTCAAATCAGAAAGCTATTCAGATTTAACCATTAACACTGTTGTAATCGTAACATGGTTCTTAATGCCAAAAATACTTCCTCAAAATCCAAGTTCTCTATTTTTCATTTTTGTTTTGTTTTTTTTTTTTAACCTTTCTGTTCCACTTATGTATATAAATTAGTTGACGTTTTTTCAGAGAAGATCCTCTATGAGCCTAGGCACATAATTTGCAGGAAATATCTGGGCAGAAGAGAAACCACAAAACATATAAAATACATACCATTTTCCCAGCAAACATCTTTTTCAATTCAACTTTGGCTAATGTTGAATACTCGGCATCTTCACCAGCCTAATCACATTTGCAGCATAAAATAATATGATGAGAGAATGATAAAAGAATTCCAAAAGAAGTGAGTCAAGTACGTGAGACAAACTTGCGTTTATCAATTTAATTTGCAGAATTGTAATGCAAAAATATTACTTCAAAAATCACATATTTACATCAACATTTAGGTTCACTAGCTAGCTTTGAGTAAGGATAGATTGGCTCATTCAGGCACTACCTCACAGACATAGAAGGAACGGAAATGGAATATTTCTAAGATTCAAAGGTCAAAACCTTGAACAACATTACTCTCGTAATTTTGAAAACAAAAGAGTACCTGGGCTTTCAAAGTCACTCTTTTTTCAGTTTTAAGAGTAGAAAAGAAAGGCTTATATCATATTCACAGTACAAAATTCTTCTTAATTTCTTTAACTAAGCAGAATTTATTATATTATAAGTTATGGATCAATTCCTACTAGGTGCAAACAATTCCTTGGAGGGGGGTGTGCCGTGTGCGAGTACCAACTAGGAAAAAAAAAAAATTATTATATTATTTCACTCTTTTGTTTTTCCCTTTCAGAAGAACACGGGAAAAGAAAAGCTATCAGCGGCAATTATTTGACTTCAAGATTCAGTGTTCAGGCGCTACCTCATAGACATAGAAGGAACGGAAATGGAATATTTCTAAGATTCAAAGGTCAAAACCTTGAACAAGATTACTCTCATAATTTTGAAAACAAAGAGTAGCTGGGCTTTCAAATAGTCATTCTTTTTTCAGTTTTAAGAGTAGAAAGGCTTATATCATATTCACGGTATAAAATTCTTCTTGGTTCTTTAACAAAGCAGAATTTATTATATTATAAGTTATGGATCGATTCCTGCTAGATGCAAACAATTCCTTGGAGGGGGGTGTGCGAGTACCAACTAGGAAAAAAAAATATTATATTATTCCACTGTTTCATTTTTCCCTTTCAGAAGAACACGGGAAAGGAACAGCTATCAGCAGCAATTATTTGACTTCAATATTCAGTGTCACCAGACTGTCTACAAATTTTATGTTCAAATACTAAAAATGAAACTGGATCCAAAAGATGGCTAAGAAGGAACCATATTATTATTATTATTATTATTGATAAATGGCTAAGAAAGATCCTTATAAATGACTAGTAACTAGGATAATGTAATTTAAAAATGTAAATTTATCCAAACCAGCAATTTTTTGTATTTTCCCCATTTTAAAGGGAATGTGAAGGGGAAGATGTGGTGGATTGACTTTACCTCATATAGGTGTGCAAAACGAAGCAGCACACTCCCATCGTCCAGCTCCTGCAAAACTCAGATCAGAAGAGAGGAGAGAGAGAGAGAGAGCACTCAATTTATTGTGCAGTAATTTAAACAATCACCTGAAGAGTAATTAATGCCACATTAAGAGGTAAACTATAGTTTGGATCCATGGCTGTTGCCTTTGCTGAATGAGAGGCTGTCCAATCTTCCAATTTCTGTAAGATCAGTCCTTTTATCAAATAATTGGCTATGATATTAAAACTTCTGTGTAACTCTAGTTATGCATACCTCATGTGTAAAAGCTAAAAGAAGGGGTGAGTAAACTTCTTGTCCAGTTGTTCGGCGCCATCTTGATCCAGCACCTAGCTGGTTGATGCTCATATAATAATTCCCTCGAACCTGTCAATAGATATCAAGCAGGATAGTACACAGCTCCTAAATTCTGTCAACGCACTCTTACGTGACGGTCATCTGTTCATCAATGCATGAGCACTAAAATGCTGGATGAAGATTAGGTGCAACTTTGGTAGGCCAGCCCGAATCTAACCTGAGCCCATCCCCTTTTTTTTTACGGGCTTGAGAAAACCATTTTTACAATTAGGGCTGGGCTTGGGTTGGAAATTCTCACCCAAACTTAATTAGGGTAGGCTTGGGTTGATGAGTCACCAACTTGAACCTTATAAATTTATTTTTTATATACTTAAAATTTTATATTTTACATATTTTAACATTGTGATCAATATTTTCCTTTCGAACTTCTTATTCTTTAAATCCTAATTTAATAAAGTTAAACATTTCAACAAATTAGATTTAGTCTTAGAAATTTTTTATGCGTAGGTGTAATCTAACCCGGAATCAACCCGTTTTATCTAACCCGAGTTAAAAAAAAAATGTGAACATGGGTTGGGGAACTTGGGTTGAAGGTTAGGTCGGGCTAGGGTTGAAGTTTTTAACTTGGGATAGTCCCTCAACCGACCCGAGTTCCACCCCAATGGCCCTATCCAAAATATGTTTTTTGACGGACATCAGCTTCAGCAATGCACATCTGCAGAATCTAGAAACAAGAAATTATGCAATGAAGCTACATGCCCTGCCGCCCCAACCACAACCCCCTCCCCCCCCCCCCCCCCCCCCCCCCAATGCCCCTTCTTTTCTCCTAAAGCAGGAAAAAAAGTAAACGAGGTATTCTGCATGAGAATTCTTATGTACTAAAAGATATCAGTGCAAGACAAAGAACACAAGAATCAGTGTGAAACCTTTAGTCTGATTCTCTGAAAGAGTAAAGCCACACACACACACACACACACACACACAAATGGTAATGCCAAATTGGAATTGAATTAGAAACACGAATGCATTATTTTGCCTTTCTCGAGAAAGATTTTATTAAGGAAGGAAAGAGCAAAGCCTGGTTACACACCAAAAAGAACAAACAAAGAACAAAGCTATTACAATTTTAGAGAATTTATGAATAAAAAAATAGAGATACTGCGGGGCAATTTTTGAGCATTTCTGAAGGCGTCAGTGGACCTACTCACTTGATTAAAACTGTAAAACATAAGCACTCATGTTTTTATTTAAAGAGGATAATATTATTGATAATATTTCCATCTAAGTGAAAAGATTCTGTTTTTCCTTTTAGTTCAGAAAATAGCATGACATGAGACTAAAAAAATAGGTATCTCTACAGTTCCAAGTTTTGACCAAAATTCACTTTAATGTTTATCATTTATATCTCCCTGTGGAGCAGGGAATGCCTGTCCTGCAGTGTCAATAGCTTGTGGAATTTAATGGCCCACGCCTCTTTGAAGCAACATAAGTATAATTCAAAGTTACAGGCAACTCAAAAAATGAACACAAAAATGCTGGTGGGTTGATGCATATGCCAACATTAAGACCTTAAATAAACCATAAATAGTTTTTTCTAAACACAGTAAAAGTAAAATGATCACCAAACAGTACCTTTTAGCAGTTAAATTGATAGCTATTGCACAGCTTATTTATACTTAGTGCTGCATCAAGATAGCTATTAGGTTGACCCAAGAAATATTATTGCATTGGCAATAACATATTGCTAATGAAATAATATGCCTTGGAAAATACGCTTTTTGGATTAAATTATTAGTAATAATCCTTAAAAGTGACAAACTTTCTGCCTAATCCACAAAAGGATTCCTACATCTAAAATCTGATCCCAGATCATTTACAGACATAGAAGTTGGCCAAATTGGTAATGTTTCCACTGGCTCAGATCTTAACCCATAATTTGTCTGACCAAGTAATATTTGAGTTTGAGCAAAATATTATTGTCAATAATCCAAGTCCACTTTATGCCACACTTGCATACAGACAATTTAAGGAAATAGCCAAAACAGCCAGAACACAAAGCATAAACAACTGTTTTCTATAAAGTCATACCGTAAGTCCTTCACATGTATTTTCAACGCACACTGTCTCATCAAGGGCTTCACCCACTCCTCTAGAGTCATCAAAGATCATACGCCTTGTGTATGACAAAAAAGCAATCATTTTAACATGTCCAATCAATAAAAAATATTTATAAGAAAAGCAGAAAGAAGAAGAAGAAGAAGGTTTGAACCTATGAAGCATTAGCTCTATTTCTCCATCTTCGATGCTACCTCCTCCAGTAGCACGATCAACCAAAACCGAGAATTCAGATTTCTTATCCGTTGTGAAAATCCCGAGATTTAGCTGAAAATAGAATCCAGCCAAATTTTGTCAGAATGAAAACTATAATCCACCAACAGGCCTGTGGCCTAGCGATACCATGCCCCTACTTCCCAAAGAGAGGTTAAGAGTTCGAACCTCAGTGGAGGCATGTGTGTGTGAGTACCAACTAGGTAAAAAAAAAAAAAAACTATAATCCCATTCAATCTTCTTCAAAATGAGAAATTAAAGACAGAAATATTGCAAATCAGATTTAGGAATACCATAGAAGTTTCTTTTAATGTCCCATAATATTGTTTCTTGAATGATTCAATGCACAACCAGACGTATTTTTGAGTGTGTAGAAACGTACTTACATGCATGATACAAGTTAAGTTCCAAACGGTAGAAGCTATATTAATTTCTCACTATAAACAACATAGAGTATGCATTATATTGAGAAGAACTACCATTTTAACCCAGACTGACTGAACATGTAATGCAATGAAATGTGCCAATAAAAGCATACACAACAGGAGCAATGGGAAAAATAAATAAATAAAAAATAAATAAAAAAAATAAAACCTTTCGTCCTAGACACAAAACAATCAACCACCAACCAAGTAGATAACTAAATCAAAAACAGTTCAAACAAAGCATGGACATTTGCACAAACTACCTTGACCCACACCATCAGAACAGAGTCATACACAGTAAGGTCATTGCACAAAAATTGTTGGGCTTGACCTACACCATTATGATAAATCAAGCCAAACTGGCAAGAATACACTCAGGAATAGTAAGCCCAAGCTGCCCAAAGTAATCTGCAACTTGAGAGTTCAAGCTGGGTAGTTCAACAAACTAGATAGACCAGCATAGCATTGCCACATCTATATTTGGTCCATCTCCGGTGCATGGAAACACCTGTATCTATTCCCTTTCTGGAAGGTTTAAAGTTGAACTTAGTTAAAAACAAATTGAGAACATTACTGGATAATAATTCCCTGCTACAGGTTGATTGACTGAAAGAGACCAGTCTGCTCTATAATCTCGAACCTGAAAAAAGAAAATATATAAAAACATATTTCAAGTTAGAACCAAAATACGCAATTGAGAATGGAAGATCTTAAGATTCAGCTAAAAATTAAGGCAAAACAAGTGAGGTAGGTCTCAAACATACTTTTCCATAAGACAGTTATGAGATCATAACCACTCTATACCGCAAAGACTCACGAGTAACCGACATATGTTTAGAAGATGGAATTGAAAATAAAAGTATGTGAAATGATTTCAATGTACCAAAAAGACATGCTTGGCTTATTTATGTTATGAAGAATGGCCAGCTCATTGGTAGAAAGAAGAAGAGAACAGAAAACCACGTCTAGCCAGCAAACAGAGGCAAGAAATGGCATAGTTAGGGGTATTCGCATCACTTGCATGTGTGGACTAATTTTTATTCTTCTTAAGCCATTAAGAAACCGTCACAGGACAAGCTTGGCGTGTATGTGCATTGGATTTGGGTAAGTATGGGCCATCAGTAGCTGATGTAACTTAGATTATCCTTTTGTCTTTTTTCACTTTGATCACTTCTCTTTTGGATCTTTGTGGCAGTTGAATTTAGTGGGCGTGATGGCTTGATTGCATTTAGTTCAAGATTCTTTTTTGGAGTGCATATGACTGCCGATATGGGGGCCCACATCCACTTGAGTGGTTGCATGACATGCACATCATGGCTTGGGTGATTTAAGTAACATCGTTTGTAAAATTACATGTTATGATGATGTACAACCAAACAAAAACAACAATTAGGGCTTCAAGCTCTGTACTGATTTTGTTTTATATATTTGTCTTGCCTCTATGAGGAGGTTGATTGGAAATGAAGAAGCCCTAAATATGGCTGCCCTTCTTTTCTTTCTCTTCCCATCTTCTCTAGTTCATCACCTCTCTCTCCTCCTCCTCCTCCTCCTCTTACACCCTTTCTATCATCAATTGAATTGTTTGAAAGCTTGGAAGCCTCCTTTGATACAACTTGTGTGCATTCACCAGCTCATAGAAGCCTTCTCAGCAATTATGGTGAAGCCTTTCCTCCTATAATCTGTTTCTTAACTTTTCCCCACTTCTAACCAGTATCTCAACTTTTTCGTCAACCGTAAGCCATTCATGTTAAATTTTTTTCCACACTTTTGTTGTTGTAACTATTTAGCATATCCTAAAGAATGTGATTTATACAAGTTTCTATTCATAAAATTTGCTATGAATATTTTCTCCTTATCCATAATATATTATTATTATTATTATGAATACTTACTGTAAAAGATGCTTGGATTAAAATACTCTTGGCTTTCAAGTTTACTTGTTTGGCACCCAGGCATGTGTTAGAGGTGTCCCACATCGGATCCGAATGGGAAGTGAAATGGGTATAAATGGGTGGGTATGCAGCATTACCAAATAACTTATGCTTTTGGGTCAGCGGGCAAGCGCCCACCCGTTATAGTTGGTATTAGAGACAGACCCAGCTCTTGATCCAGTATCACGCCAAGCACCCGGCCTGAAAGTGTCTGGGTTCCCACCCCGGGTAGGATGGGTGGCCCGACCGCAACGAGAGCATTACGAGTTCGGGCGGGGGAGAATGTTAGAGGTGTCCCACATTGGAACCGAATGGGAAGTGAAATGGGTATAAATGGGTGGGCATGCAACATTACCTAATAGCTTAAGCTTTTGGGTCAGCGGCAAATGCCCACCCATTACAGCATGCCTATTTGAGTTGTGGTATTAATCTTCATTCAGATATAGTTCTCCACCAAAATTTCTGGGTCTACTAAAAATCATTGAGTTGCATTTAGCATCTCAAACTGAAACTAAATTTGTGGCAGTATTATATCGTCAAAATTTTAATTTAGAAACTTGTTCTTGTACACTACTAATTTAAATTTTAAAGTGAAACAAAGAAATCAACATATTCACTGAATCGAAATCAGAAAAACAATGAAAGTTGAATATACAGATGTTTCATCTTCCAACTTCAGCTAAAAGATATATAACCAAATAGTGACATAAAAGAGTATATGACTGAAATAAACAACCCATCTTTTGTTGACGGTTATCCAAAGGCTTTTGATATTTGAAGAGAATAATCATGAGTATTACCCGTTTTAGAAAGTCCCTCCCATTGGAATCAGTATAAAAAACCTTGTCTGTGGCCATATTTGCTGTCATTCGCGTAATGACCTCTTTACCAACACCATCATCCGTGGGAATTGGACCAATCTAACGTTCAGAAACTTGTTAGTACTATTCAATTTGAGTGTAGATTATTAATCTGTTCATTATTGTCAAAACTGTAAATAGAACAACTGCAATTTGCAATGTTCCTTAGAATTGAGAAAAATTTTAAAGAATTTTTTTCTACCATGATCTTTCAGGGGTTGTGGGGAAGAGTGCAAGAGGTTGACTTACAGTATATTCAACTTCAGCGTGCTCTTTGTTTTTGTAAAGTCTAATCACCTGAAGAAAGCATATGCTAAACCTCAGCAAGAAACAAGACAAGGCAAAGGAGGAAGACAAACTGGACGCAAAATGCTTGGGTAGTAACATTTTTATCAGCAAAAGTTCAAAATTTATGATCCTCTTATGCAGTAATTCATACTAAAAGGATAAGCATCAAATCAAAAGGATCCCTGAAAACAATTTTCCCCATTTTTCATCGTAAGGGCTTTATTGTCATTATGAAACCCTTCAGAGCCCCTAGGAAAATGGAGTATATATACTATCACATCCGTCAGATGGAACTCAAAGGCCATAACAGCCAGTAAGAATCTCCGCTCCACAACAAAAATTGAAGAAATGAATAAGTAACAAGAAAATTAAACAAAAAAAATAAACCTAAAACTTGTCTAAAATGTTGCTTCCTAATTTCTGAAATGAAGGGATGGACACAATTGGTCTTGTACATTAATAGCAAGAACTTCTCTTAAATTAAGGTCACATTTGATGCATAGGAATGAATGGAATGGCATGCCCCATTTCAGCTCTCTGATCAGTATAGAAAGAACATATAACTGGAGTCGGCTTATTCATCAGTTGTAGATTATAATTTCACAACTTATCCATTCCATTTTGGGCAGAGAGATTGATTCGAGTTAGTAACAGGGATCATAAGCTAAGAAATTGATCCCAAATTTTTAAAGGTCAATGGAGTACATTGCAATTGCATGCTTTTTTTCTGCTAACCAATGTTGAACAACAAAATAAACTGATATATAAGCTTCGAACCTGATAGACCCACGGACTAAATTGCTGATGAACTTCATCAACTATTGGTCCACGCATGACCTTCAATGGGATCTGCAATTTAATTAACTATAGTAAATTGCTAGTAAAGTTAACTATCAATATAACCAACAATATAGTAATGATGCGGTTTTCTGATATCTTGTGAGAAGAGACAAATTCGCCTAGGCTAAACAGAATTTGTGGCCCAAGAAAGCATAGAGCAATGAAAAATAATTCATGTAACCAATGCGATGAAGATAGAGTAGAACTTTGATGAGCTCAGTTGAAAAAACAGATGGCTTACTGATCTTGAAAGAACATCAGGAGGGGAACCATTAGGTCGGAAAATGTATGCACCGGAACTCTGCAAGACAGTATATACATGACGTGTCCTTTGCCACTTCATTAACTTAAATCAGGAATATCCCTGTGCAATTAATTCTTATAAACATAGTAATTGCATACCTGTGGGTCTGTATCACCGCCGCTTGAACCATACCAGAGATAGCTCTGCTGTACCGGTATGTCAACCTGGAAAAATCACACAAATCATTTGAAAATGCTTGGTGGATCAACTGAAATGGCCTTCAAAAAATCTCATAACAAACCAAAACCTGCAGCATAAACTTTAGCCTTTTGGCATATGAATCGATTTTCAGACTATGATTAATCAAAGGTTTGTGACTAGTATAAAATTGCCCTTAGCCTAACATCAACCCTCTTTGGAACCAGTTTTCTTCCTAAATTGACACACACTCAAACATCGTGATAAAAAATACGCAAGTAACATTAGTCTCATTTATCAATTTGTGGAGTCATGCTACACCAGTAGTAACATATTGTCCTTCAGCACTAAAGATTTCTTAGACAAACTATTATATAATGCTAAAATTGACTGTGAACCTTCACTCTTTTTTCCCCAGCACAATCGAAAGTCTTTTTCCCTTAAAAACACTTTACAACTAAAATTCTAAAATGGCACTCAAAAGTCCTTCCTCACAATACACCAGATGAGATAAAAATAAATGAAAAATAAAAAATGGGTATGGCAAGCCCCAATAAGAATTGTTTGAATCAAATATTCAAAAAAGTAAAGTAGTGAACCAATAATTGAAACATACTGTCAGAACACATTGGTCGGGTCAATGTACCAAATGGTTCTGATCAGGTGTGCATCAACGAGAAGAAAAGTATTGTATATGGTTGAAGTAACTTATTATAAAAATTTATAAATACATGATTCTATTAAAATTGAAATGCTATTATATAGATTGTCTGCAATTTATGATTTATTCCCTTTCCCGATGTCAATCCTTAAATATGAACTTCAATTTTTCTAATCACTTTCCAGAATGATAGGAAATCTATTTGTTCTAACGTTACCAGTTCAACTGCAAAAGCAGCGATTCTACATACAATTACCAATAACATTGAACAATCTGGAAAATGTAAAAACTTCTTACCCCTGTCACAGAATTAAACATTCTTTTAAGTTGTCCAGATGTAGAAGAAAAGGACATCTTCAAGTTTCCTGGTCCGACTTCAATGGACTCATTCTGTGGAAGATCCACCAGAGAGATATACCCTTTTCTGCGTTTACCTGTATCATTTTGTAACAGAAGTAAAAAATGAAATGAGTGAAGCTAATAAGATGATTTACAATCCCGTGGCCCTCTTTCTCCAATGGAATAATTCTACTTTCTTCTCATTTTATTTTATTTTTTGGTGTAGAGGAGATGGAGAAGAGCCCGAAAAGTTGTACTTGTACCAGTAACAAATAATAATTTCCTAGAAATATAGAGCATAATAAAAATTATGGCCTTAAGGGATAAATATTTTGGGCAAGTACCTATTGCAGCCACTTTAGAAACGAAGTATGTGTTCCAACCCAGAGGCGGCACAGAAACTTGAAAGAAAAGCCAGTACTTGGGAACTGTGGCTGTTGATATTCCCAGGTAGGCCTTGGTGTAGACGTTTCTTAAATTGGTTGTAACATTGTCCAACTCCACATGTTGTGACTCAATTGTATTACCCATGGAATCTTGGACAACAAGATTTGCATCATTAACCTGTTATAAATGTATTTGCTAAATGATTACAAAGAGAAAAACAATCATATCAATTTGCAGAAATGCAAGAAAATAGTCAATTTTTAATCAAAAAACTTTAAGGGTAAGGGTAAATTGTAGTGACACACCCCAGGTTTGCCTAAAAGACAGGTAGAGTGTGATCCACTTGCACCCCCAAGTTTGCAAACTTGAACAATGACACCCCATTTTATAAATAAGGAGTCAAACACAGCCTTAAATAACATGAAATGTCTAATATGCCCTGCTATGTATTTTCATCCTCACCTAAAATGACCAAACTACCCTCAGTAATTTACATGTATACTCTCTCGGTCTCTCCATCATCTATTTTCCAAATCTGAAAACCCAGGTCGATGGATAATCAAGCCACCATCAATGGCGCGTCTTAGCACTTGTATTCACGTGTGCCATTATCGGTACTCACTGGTCTGGATTGAACTCAAAGCTCCTCCCGGAGTTCATAGTGTTGATGAAATGAGTCTTGATTTGAGCTGTCGATGAGCAAGGAACTATTATTGCCGACGGCGGCAATGCAAGGAAGAACAACGAGCAACGACTAGCAACTCCGGCGACAAAACACAGCTTCTGCGATGAGCAAAGAAACTCAAATTCTCTAGTCTCCAAACGGTGGTTGAATCTTCAGGGTCATCTTATTGCCGTTCATCTCCCTTCCAAAGCTTATGGGTCTGTCACCAAAATGGGTCTTTTTTTTTTTTCTTTTTTTTCTTTTTTTTTTTTTTTTATAGAGCTATCTTTGGCTTCAAGGCGGCGGTTACTTGAAGGTGAGGGATGATGAGGGAGGGGCGGAGGAAGAGGAGGTGGAAGAAGTGGGGCAAATCTTGTCGACTATGGAGTGGTCAGATGGTGTTTTTGGGACGAACGAAGCTTGAGCGGAAATGGAGTTTGCCAACGATGGCTGTCACCAGAATACCAATCGCAACCCAAACCCACAACCGATCTACAACCGCCGGATTTGCGCAATCTGAACAGAACCTTGCTCGCCATTCACTCAACCCAGTTGCCGGAATCACAACTGATTCACAGCACACTCACAATCCTCGTCGCCAGAATCGTGAACCAGCAAATCGAGAACGTTGTTATTGATTAGTGCATCAACAAGGATTTGAGCGGGCTAATCGTTGTCCTCCAACATGTCTTCGCAGGCGAGGATTTTGAGCTTCTCGTTCTCTTCGTGGAGCTCGAGTTCGAAGTCGACGACTTCGATGGCGTTCTGGGATCTCTCAACGGCTTCGAGGAAGGAGAGGTCGATGCCGCCGTTTAGAGTGGCGGGTGGTCGCGGTGGCTCGAGGAAGGTTTAGTCGTCGGCGGCGGCTCGTTTGCATTTGGGGATGTGGTTGTAAGCGGTGGCGATTTCCATTGGCTCACTGTGTCTGTATTACTTTCCTCCTTTTAGCTTAAAATCCTCATTTTTTTGGTTCATTATTGAGTGATTAGAAATGGGTTTGGCTGGAAGTTCATTTGGAGTAATGGGTCTTTGTTTGTTTTGGGGGTTTTTATTGTGGTAATGAATGTTGGGGTGGTTGTGGACGGTGGTGGTGGTGGAGGGGAAGATCGGTGGTGGTGGGCCTAAGTTGGGGTGGTTGTGTATGTTGCGGTGGTGGTGACTGGTGAGTGGTGGTCATGGAGGTTGCGGTAGTGACTGGTGAGTGGAGAGAGAGAAGAAGTATAAAAGCGTGAAGTTCAGGTTGGTCTATAAATTATTAAAACTAGGTATGAGAACATCCAAAAACTTAATACAAAATTGTACAGCTGCAAATGATCAACTACAATAGAACAAAGCTCGTGATATGCCCAGCACAACTATTCTAGATGCAGGATGTGGAGCATTCAAAAACTAGAAAGAAACTTTTATGGAGCTTAAAATTTGAATCAGTATAACTAATAATCCTGTGCATTTCACACAGATGACGTATTGACATGTATTTGATGCAGTTAGGGTTTAAGACAAGTAAAAATTAAGTCTCTACCGGATTAGTAGATCGAGGGAACTAATGGTTGTTACAAGAGAACTTTTCTTTCACTACTAATGTTACAATAAGGACAAAAGTGCCAAACTAGATGTGAACTGAGGTCTAAACAACATGTGCCATTGCATGCCATCTTAATAATTTTAAACCAAGGATCCCTCACATATTGGAAGGAGATCTAGTGTAACTGTTTTGGCAAATTAGGGAAAAAAAACAAACAAATAAACAAACAAACAATTGTATAGAAGGACTAATGGAATCATTGTTATTCATTAATAAGCAAAAGATCACATTTTGAAGCACTTTTCTACACAATAAACGAAGTTCGGCACCTTCAATTTATATTTAATGGATTCGCTCAAAGAAAACTAAAAGTATTACTGCTCTATTGCGTAATGCCATAATTAAAATCACACTTCGTTCAGTTTTGAGCCTCGATTGTCTATGACTGAGTACTAGCTGGAAATAAAGTCAGCCACTACATGTTTTTTAGATTATGCCTTTAAAGGGTATTGCCATTACTTATCATTCAACCTCAATTCCAATTCAACTTAACTCAAGAGGAGTTCACCCCAATTTTTAGGCATTGGCTATGCAATTCCTTTTGCCATTTATTACTATCTAATGCAATATATTATATTCAGTTCCTTTCTCAAAGCTCAAACTGCTTTCTTCCATTATCACTGTATTGCCAACATATATAACCCTGGTACTAATTGCTAGTGAAATAATTGAACATTGATGCACATGGCTGAACCATGTCAACCAACCAACTTCCAAATTCGTCCTTCTTTCCAATAGAAATACAATTTTAATCAACCAATGTTTCCTTATGTTCTGGGAAACGCATCCATTTTTATATTTTTTCTTGTCCCAGCCATCTTGCCGTCAAAACATCTTATTTTCAACTACAAACTATATTTATTTTATCTATGTCCATCAACTGCCATGCGTGCAGCATGAAGCACGGTTGGCCTTATAATCATCATAGAAACATATAGGGTAGATATATGTGACGCTCAATTCTGTAGAAGCAGGTCCAACATCTGGAGCCCGTTTAGACTAATATACATTCTGTCAAATAAAAACTTACCGGAATCCTAATTATGTCAGTACGATTCCATCCAAGTGGATTGTATGCCACAACAACCTGAAAGCAATCAATAAGATATAGTGAATAAATTTTCCAGCATATTCCTAATCAAGAAAAGGGTTGATACCAGAGAGAGAAATATTACCAAACTCTTTCCTTCTGGAATATCTTCCTCAGTTGGGGGGCAGAAGCTTATATTGAGCAATAGACACTGTTCACCAAAAAGGGGGGAAATTAGCATTAAACCAGGAGGGGACACATTAAACCTCTTGCCACGGCAACCAGGCACATATGGCTAATATTAAAGTAAAAATAAAGGAAGAAAGACCTAAACGCATATGCTGTTTGTTTGAAGTCACACCATGTGTACCCAAATAAAAACTGTCAAACCAACTCTTCCCCACCCCAAAAACAAAACAAAACAAAAAAAAGGAGACATTAGGAGTTATCACTCCAAGCATACTTTGAAGACATAACTTTCAAGTGGTTTTTTTTTTTTTTTTTTTTGAAAATTCAAGCAAACATGCACACACCCACTATACTTTGCCCCTACCTGGGCTCGAACACTCAACCTCCCCTTTGAGGAGGAGAGCTTATACCATCTAGGTTCCCATTGGTACTTTAAACGATTAAATCTAAAGCTTTATACAAAATACATGCATAACTTTCTGGTGATATGTTAAATCTAAAGCTTTTACCATTTCCCTATACAAGTTCACATCCACAAGTAATAAAGACATGCAACATATCCTCCAAAAAGGATAAAGTAAAGAGATGTTGAAGAAACCAAAGTACAAGACAATTATTCCTGTAACAAGAATACCAGAGAAATGTTCTTTTAAATTTTATCATGCTTCTTCTATTTCTTCTTCTTCTTCCCCATTTTTTTTCCCCCTTTTTGAGGAATTCCAAACATTTTATTCAGGTTTTTAAATTACCGGAATCATTCTTCAAATTCTTATTTTCATCAAAACATTTACCATCAAGTAAATGTTAGATCAAGAGAGATAAAGAAGTGAGGAAGCAAGGGAGAGAGAGTGTGTAATGCATTGCAATACCTACACAATGATGCTAAAAGGGTAGTCTTCAAATTCCTGTTTCAACTTTCAATTGTAACAGAAAAATTAATACCATGGGGCAAAGAAAGCTCATTTCTATAACTCAAAATATATTGTACTTACCATCGACATGAATAATGTCCAAATACAGATATCATTTGTGTAATTAGGAAAACAAGACTTGTCAATTATATTTGCACGGTCCATGCATAGTGCGTATATTAGCTCTGATATTGTATGTATGTATGTATGTATGCACGTATGTGTTTTGTGTGTGTAAGAGACTAAACAAATTCATTCATGTAGCTAGAATAAACAACCATATGACAACTGATACAGAACACCAAAAAAAATATATAACTATAAAAGAACCATCTTATATCCCTAAGGGTTAACACATCACTTCTTTTTTCAAAGGCTGCTATAGTTGCACATCCATGCTTCACAGCTCAAGCATTAAATTGTATTTTCAGTCCAAGCAAATCCATATAATGGTAGACCAAAAGCAAAATTGCAACAATGCAACATCAAAGCCTGACCTGGCTAAATGTCGATTGGGGTGTGGCACATTGATCGCTTGATGTTGAATTAGCTAGGCATGACAAAGCTGAACTCACAACTGCTTCTGCCTAAAAAAATTATTGCATTCAAAAACATGTGGAAAAGAAAAAGGTTCAACATAAGCATAAAAGTAAAATGGTGGGAGAGTAGTAGTAAACGGACAAGTTCATAGAACGGTTAGCAGCCCACCTCAGAAGCTCCAATTGCCAAGCGTTTTGCATAGTCATTTGTGGTATGTTGTTTAGCCGTGCCAGTAACGGCATCATGGTGCTGTGCAATTCCTAATGCATCTCCTAAACGAAATGTGTTTGGACCTGTAGGTCTCCTTCCAGCCAGGAACTCAAGTTGGCGTGCAGCCTATTTTTGGCAAAGAGAAATCATTTAATTATCATTTTGGTTAAAATAAAATCGTGAATGACGAGATTAAAAGAATGAAAGAATACAGGACAAGGTGACATAAAAAAGTCATGCCAACTCCACATGGCACGTATCCAGTGACCAGAGTCACCATTTAGCGTACTCAATTGAGTAGGCCATACGGTCATAGTTCAAAAAAAATTATGTCTGCCGTTGATAGATATAGACTAAGCCATATGACTACTATGGCAATTAAAAGAGCAATATATATTGATTATCAAAGCATATGAGAGCAGTAGATTCTTCGGGGAATAAATCAGATGATGTCTCCATTTGGGCAAGCATATCAAGTGTACGACACAAAAGGGTCCTCATCCTGACTCCATGTAACCCCCACAAGGGTCGCAACACTAACTCTAGTGTCATACCAAATAATATCCACTCAGCATTCGGACATATTGCTTCAAGCCTGGGCGACTAGTAAAGTAACCAGTCCAATAGGCATTTGCCCTGTCTGCATATCTGTCAGGATTCAACAGATAAGGATTTGAATCAATGGGTTAGGCAAATAGGATTATTCAGACTATATTGCAACCTGAAAAATGAGAGATGTAATGCTCACGGAAAATAGTCATCAGTTTTTAGTGGCCACGATTCATTTGCTGCATTTTTTGCATCTGTGTAGATAGATGGGGTAGAATACAATGCATTCACACGACCATCCTGAAGGTAAATCATGGGTGAACCTCAGTAAGTTATATCAAATAACTAAAACTATAAAAATAAATAAAAGAATATATATATATATATATATATATATATTCAGGTTTCAAGTTAGAGCCCATAGTGATTTAAAACTCACAAAATTTCAGAGTTGAGGACCATGTAAGAAAATGAATGGACATACATTTTCAAAATAAAACATATTGCAGCAGCAAGGTCGTACCATTCAGTTGTGGTGGATATTGATGGACAAACTGTATTTCATGTTTAAAGGAATTACATTTGATGAATGATTGGATAAATCTTAGAAGGTTCTAATAAAAAACTAACACAAAATCAAATAAAACTTATGGGGGAGGAGAGAGAGCGAGAGAGAGAGAGATTTCAATAACAAATTACCCATTTGGATTCAGGTTTTGAACCCAACCACACTTAAATTTAATGTATAAATAGGACAATTAAGCTCAGAAGAAGTAAGTTAGAAATGATTGCAAAGATATGAATTTTTTAATCAAAATTTACCTTGTTGACATAGTTAATTAGCTTATCCATCTGCTTGAACCAGGACTCAGCATATTGGTACTGGAAATCATCACCCATTGTCCACATAATATGATTTGTCCGTGTCACATTAGCCTGTGCAACAAGATGGCAAATTTTGATCAAATGTACGCATGAAAATTTTCAGCTTCTATTTAATTGAACAATCCTCCAATCACGACCCTTATAACACATAGATCTCCATATTAGGGTATAAGGAAGTTAGAGTTTACTTGAGTGATTGCAGCACTAATGAAATCATTAACTCGAGATTCAACATTGTAGTCATATAGAAGAGGATTATCCTGTGTGCACAACATCTTTCAGATGTGAAGATACAGTTACCAAAAAAAAAAAAATCACAACAATGTTTGGAAAAATGATGTTTGTTTAACAATAGAACCTGGACGGGAATGGAGTCATCAAACACTTCAAAATGGAAACCATTTGGTGGACTATAATGAACAGGAAATGCATTGGCAAAGATCTGCAAAGGACCCAGAAATTCGAACAGTAAAAAAGCAACCCACTGAAAAGAAAGATTATGAAAACAGAGAAGCAGCTGCAGTTTGAAACCTGAGAAGAAGAACCAAAGGTTTTGGACCCGCGCCATATAACTTCAAGAGATTTGTCTTCCTTACGCTTTGCTCTGTCCTGATAATCAATCCTCGCAAAATGCACAGATTCGAAGCCAAGCTAAAGGAACAACAGATCCAAAACAATAAATACATCAGATGGTATTTCAAAACGAATATATTATTCATGTCAATAATTTTGGTCATAGATCTCAAAAACAGAACATTGTCAGTTCTGAAAGATTGTCAAATAAAGTGGTAGCAAAATCGTCATCCTTGCCTTAATCCCACTCAAATGGGAAAGGACAAAATGAGAAGTTGTCTCGAATTATATCTAATTTCTTAAAATCTCCTTTAATTTGAAACAAGTCCAACTAATTGAGCTGGCAAAACAAACAAATAAGCAGAATCATGATTGCGATAGGATGTCAAAGTTTAGTGTCATCTCCGCAAAGGTGAAATTTGTGTACCTCGGCTCCAAGTAAGTAAGCTTGCACTGCTGAGTGCCCAAATGGATCAATTTGCCATCCAGCACGAGGAGTTCTGTTAAATTGGTTCTTTATCAAACGATGACCTAGGGTTGTCTGGTCAATCATGTCTATGTAATGGGTAGTTGCTTCGTCGTGCATACACCAGCCACCATTTCTGTGCCAAAAAGTCATTATATGTTAACATACACCAGCTTACCAGACAAGGAAACAGAAAACAAGTCTAGGAAACTGCATACACAAATTCGAACCGGCCAGCATCTACAAATTTTTTCACCACTTCTTGTATTTCCACATTTTGTCCTTCCCACCAACGTTGGAAAAAGGCCTGTTGTTCATATTATCAGTCAGAAAATCACAAGTTCCTCTAGAAGAAAAATGATGATAACATATATGAGTAAAAGTAAATTACTCTATAATTTGCTACAACTTTTTCTTTGTTGCATCCACACAATGCATAACACTCAGTCACACCCATGTACGCACAACAAGAATTGCAATAAATATGAGAGAGCGCCAGACCGTTACCCAAACCTTGGATTTGTCACAGTGCGAGCGGTGAATTTGACCTAGAGGGGGAAGTGAACAGGCCTTATGGATATTTTTCTGCTTTTAATTAATTTCTCAAAAATCCATTAAACCTGTTTGAATTCCAGTTAGTTAGTTGTGAAGTTTGATTTTTAGGTTATGATTAAATTTAAATTCTAATAAACTAATTCACAATTAGGCAACAAACAGAAAGTAAAATAAAGTAGAAGAGCAGAGACACGATATTTTTTATGTGAAAAACCCTAGGCAGGGAAGAACCACCGGACCTAGTCCAAGCAAACCAAAATCTGCTATGTGAGAAAGAGAGCGCACAACCTAGGTTAACAAACTCTACTCTTAGAATCCCCTAGTTACCTCCTGACATAAAAGTCTCCAAACTTTGTCTCAAAAATCTCCAGACAGTCTTTCCACCCATCAGCAACATCAATTCTTCACGAATTTGCTCCAATGATTTTGGTCTCAACCACTAGTAGTCCGGTCCTGTTCTTAATGAACCATTGGTTGATGCTCGGATAGATATTATCAATTCTGCACCTTGCTTTGATGATCTCAATCACAAATAATAAGGTAATCTACAAAGAACCCTAGGTTGATTCCCAAATCTCTCTCACAAAAATATGAATTCTTTCAACAATATGTAAGGAATTGAAAGCTCCCAGGAGAGATACTCCAGACTGACTATAACCTCATATTTATAGCCAATATAAGAGACTTAGTAATTAGTATGGTAAGTGAAATCCTTTCAGAATTATGATTTGAGAAAGTTTTCATATAATTTTGTCTGCACGGTTCATTCGATCAAGCCTTCAATTGACACTCATTGGACAAGCTTCTATCAATCAACACCTCACTCAAGGCATTATGTATTTCAAAAATATTTTTCCTGCAATATCTCGATTGAGGTATATTGTTTCGAAAATCATTTTATCAAAAATTCCAAGTTTTAATAAACAGTATTAAAACAATATTTTGAGGGTTCTAAAGATCAAACCTAGGTCGTAATTGGTCTCTATGGTCTCAACTTACCTTGCAAGATATGTGATTATTCTTGAGAGATTTTCGGCATGTTCTTCACTAAGCTCCATCGCCATCCTCTTCCATTATCGTAGACGAATGACTCATAACACTTCGACGCACACTAGAACCCAAGTTTTGAGTAGGAATATGTTGACTCTTGATTTTTATTGGCAAATGTCCTGTTGGACACACCTTTATAAATTCATGGGTGTTAATGACATTATCCATGATGTAAATTGATTTTAACATGGTTTGTCTAGCTAAAATCAATTTCTCAAGCCTTCTGGAGAAGTTGAAGTCCAATCACAAATAATGAAATTAATCCTATTAACCACCCATCTGTGAAGTATCTTTCTCTCAATCCATTTTGTAATGCTGGTTAAAAGTTTGTAAACCTGGGGGCCGTTGTAGGTCCAGTGGAAATTAAGAATGTTCATCGTGTTCAACATAGTGTTCAAGGAACAAATTGGCAGTGCAGTACAGAGACATTCATAATCACAAATAAGAGTGAAATGAGATCATATTGTGAAATCCTAAAGCCTCCAAGTACAAATGACATTTGAAAATAATAATAATAATAATAATAATTTAACACAATAAGGAAATGGGCACATAAATTATGATGTACTGATTCAAATTATATGCCAACACCCTATGAGAAAACACACTTGATCCAAGTTTCTGTACTTGCATAAACAAAGTAATTTATTCTAGTGTAATTGTAAGACTAAAAGAGAGATCACTATTGATGTGGGTATGCTAATGTGTACGCATGTGTACGTGCATGTAAGTGTGAGTGCTTGCAGATCAAGTGAATGAAAGGTGCACGAGTGTGAAGCAAAATATATTTTTCCAATTTATATATTTATACACTTTATTAAAAATTCTCTTATAAAGTTGTAACATTTATTTTTATCTTGTGCATATATGCATGACTAGACAAGCAAATGCAATAGTTGGTCTTATATGATTCAAATAGAAGGCAACAAAATGAAAAGAGCATGGCAGATAACACATAGTTGAGGATGTGAAAAAATAATATATCAAGAGAGAGAAAAAAGGAAAATACGATTGTGGAGAATTTAATGGAGCAGTTTGCTCTACATGGGTGATAGAATGATAGGCAAGAAAAGGTTCATGTAGCAAATTAAGGATTTATTGAGTTGAGTAGCTTACATGTGTGCATATTAATAGTATAAACAAATGCACACATCAACTGTTGCGCTACATCCAACCCACTTTTTGCACATTTCTTCCAGGAGTTCCATAAATACAACAGATGGGGTAATTGCAAAGTTAGAGTCAATTTAGAACTGATATATAGTAAAGACTCATATAGAGTAAAAGACAATTGTTGACCTTAATGATTTCATCCAAGGACAATCTAAAGATTTTGATGATGACAAACCATTAATGGTATTTAAGGACTAATGTTCACATTGAGTGTTGTAGATGATTCATATTCAAAGAAGAACCTCAATGAAGATCATAAAGACCATTCCAAGAATTCCATTACTCAAGATCACATCTATGGAAAGCAAAGGAGACAAAAGGAACATGAAGTTGCAAAGAAGCAGATGCAAAATCCATCCAAAGTAGCTTGGACTACAACGAGTAAGAAAGCAACTCAAAGAAAGGAAGAAAGCAAAAATACCTCAAAACTTGAAGAAAGGGGTAGATAGCTTGGTGAGTGCTAGCCTACATTGTAAAGTTATTTTTGAAGTAACTTCATTTGAAAGCTCATCTCTATAGGACCATGCATATCATATCATCATTCATATGCTCCTATATCCATTAGCAATAGACTATGCACTTCATTCATATAAAATTAACATATGGAGTCATTGCTAAAGAGTGAGTGAGTTCAAGCTTGCATAAGCTTTGAAAGAACTCATCACTTGTGCTAGAAATGCTAAGACCATGCACATCAATCATATAATTCATATTGGTCAACAATTAAGGCATGAGAAGCCTTCATTACCATGAGTTGGTAACGGACATTAGGACCCCAGAATGCGCGTCATGAAAAACTGTGTTTTTGGCTAAGTGTGAAAAATGGATTTTTGAAATAATGACTATTTCAAAATAATTTTTCCCGGTAATAACTCTTTATACTTAAACTAGCCTAAACTGATTTTATCAAAAATTTTGACCAAGTCTACATTGGTCTACATAAGGATTCAATTTTACCAAAACAGTCGAAAATCCAAATTTGTACTAAAACTGAATTTCTACATTTTGATTTAGTTGGATTTCAATTTTCTAATATTTTTTATTGAATCCAAATGGGGGGTACTTCCTTATTTACATTGTAAACTTAAAGTAAAGACATTTACTTAAATGTTTTCAATGAAAATAAGGTCTGTGCAGATGTCCTGTAGAGTACTGTCTAATCTGTTAACTTAGAACAACTCATGAAGCAGCAGTTTCATTTCGGTAGACCGAAATGCATAGGCAAGTTATTTCGGCCTACCGAAATAAGGCACTCAGCACATCTCATTTTATTTCGGTCGACCAAAACAAGTGTGGGTTTTACTTCGGTCTACCGAAACAAAAGTACTGAGAATGATGAAACCATTTCGGTCGACCGAAACAGAAAAGGGTGTTACTTCAGTCTACCGAACCAAGAGTACTGAGAGGGTGATATCCAACCTTAAACCATTTCGGACGACCAAAACACAAGGGTGTTTCATTTCGGTCGACCGAACCAGCGCGAATTCAAATTCAAACGGCTATTTCACCTAGAACTGTGTGCCCAACAACTCTATTGATATCAGATGCATTAGAAACTCTATAAATAGAGTTGGGGTTTTCTAGTTTCGGGTTGAGGCTTTTAAAAGGAACTTCTACAGAGCTTTTGCTCTAGTTCCTCCCTCTCCTTGTGGAGCTTTTGCTCTAGTTGTCCACACAAGGAATCACCTTTGAAATACATTGCATATCATTCATGTGATTCATCTTGCAAACTTAGAGTTGAGCTTCTATTTGATTACTTCATTTGTAACTCTAAGTATGAGAGCTGTAATTTATATATTTGTCTATGTGAGAGACATTCTTTGTAAGCTTCATTATATATCCATTCTTGAGAGAAGAAGACTAAGAGGTGCTCTTGGCAAGGGAAAGTTTGTTTAAGCTATTGTAAAGGTTCTCTTTCTCAACCCATAAAAGAAAGAAGGTGTCTCTCTAATGAGAGGATTTGGTAGAGCTCTCCACACACAAGAGTGAGCAATGGTTCCTTCTTAGCCGTCAAAAGAAGGAGAAGCGAGATGGCTTCATTACAAGGTCGGTTCTTCACCCGCAAGCAAGAACATGTAAAGGTTTGCTCTCCACCCGTAAGGAGGAGCCATAGTGGAATCCTTGAGAGGTCTTCTCAAGGCATGGACGTAGGCCGAGGTTGTGCCGAACCATGCACATCGCGTGTCGTTTGGTTTGCAATTTCTCTAACTCTTACTCTCTTCATTTCCCTAGCATTTTCCATTTCATAATCTTAATGCTTTATTTATGAATGTTATGAGATGGACATGTTAATTTGTATGTGAGGAGAATGGGATGAATGCTTGGATTAAGTTAAATGAGTGATTGATTTTAGCTTAGACTATACGTCCTATAATTGATTCATATATAGCTAAAAAGATGTTGCATACCAAGTGTTTGACAAAATGCATATTCAACACATCCTTCATCTTTAGAGTTTATATACACACCAAGTGTTTGATAAATTTGTAATAAACTCTATGATTATGTGTTTCATGTTATTTGCACCTTGAATATTAATCACATCAATATTGTGCAAATGCTAATTCTAAATGGTTAGTTGAATTGAATGCATTGAAGCTTAAAGTAATTCATTTATTTGAATCAATGATAATCACACTTAGATGCATGACTAATAAGCATGATTCAATGTACAAAATGAATTGGTCATTTGCTAAAGCAATCTACTCATGTGTAGTAATCTCATTAGATTACATTTCAAGTACTTGGTGATATCTACACTACAACTCATTAGAAAAGCATTCATCACAATGAATCATATTAGGCTCTAAAGTTTAGAGTTAAAGAAAAGGAGCTTAGAGAAGCTAAATCGAAAAAGTTCCATAGTTTGCCAATGACCATCCCCCCACCCCCTGCCCCCCCCCACCCCCCACCCAAGGGTCATTACTTGGGCAACAACAATAACCATCAATTCATTAAAACATGACCAATGTTTTTTTTTTTTCTTAGTTAAAACATGACCAATGTAGGTTCAAGTCTGATGGCAACAACTTCATGAGACTGAAATTCAGTAGCAGCATTTTCTAATAATTGCTAATTTTAACTAGAAATATAAATATAAGTTTTTCAGTAATTATATTGAGTAGAGAATTAAAAGCCTAGAAAATAATTTCAAAAAAAAAAATCAACATAAAGCAAAGAAACAAAACAGTAAGACAACAAATTAAACTACTTCATCAGAACCAGATAAAGTTCACTAATGTTTTAATTTAATCTTCTAATGTAATCGATCAAGATTTTTCAATTCAACAGCTTTACCATTTCAGCAAACACAAACTTCCTATTCGGATCATGAAGCAAAGATATGACAACCGAGTCCAGCACATTCTCCACACATGCACCCTGCACAAAATGACACCCATAAACGAGAAAACCATCAAAATCACAACCAAATAATGATCAGATTAACATATGCACATTCATATGTATGTGTGACCTGAATACTGTTGTTTGATCCAACATAGTACTGATCAATTGTCTTCAACCATCCAACATCATCGTGAGAATGGGCAACCAGATGGACATTCAATTTTCCTTCAACAATCCCACCTCCAGTATCGTACTTAATATATCCATCAACTGTCCTGTATGAACAAAGAACAACCAATATGCAGAGTAAAGCTGAAACTGAGACACTGTTCATTCTCGATTCCGGACCAGAGTTCTCTGACCAATGCCTTTGCAGCTTCTGTTGAATTTGTACAGTCTAAGAATGTGATGTGGACATTGTGACGTCCGCTGGGTAGCGACAACAGACATTTGGATTTTAATTTGCCATGTGATTGCCGGCCTAGGGTTAGGGTTTTCCATGTGTAGGTATGGTCCATTTGTTCAGATTTTGCTGGGGAATCCATTAATGGAGCAATGGATTGATGAATCTATATCTACCGGAAACGGATTGCTTGCTCCAAATCTTCTCTATCATAAATGGTTGAAGGGAGAATTTGGTTTTTTACTTTGAGTTGGGTGTGGGTAGTTTTTTATGAGAATAGTTATCTGTTTTTAAAAAATAAAAAATTAGTTTAATTTTTTAAAAATTATTATTGAGAACCTGCTTTGGATTTGTTTTTAGACAATACTGTATTTGGTTCTGCCCTGTCAGGACGAATTTGGCCTATTAAGTGAGGTGGTTCAATTAAAAAAGAACACGTCCTATAGTGGGTTAGACCCGTTAAAAATGAGTATCCGATCTATGCTCGCCATCCCGCTCAAACTCAAAACTCGAACTCCAACAATACAACCCTAACAATCCACAGCTCTTCCTTTTATGGCCTCTCCTTCGAACCCACAACGAAATCCTTACTCCTTTTCGACCTCTTTTTCGACCCGCCACCTCCTCTGCAGCACCTCATCATCGTCATTGTCGTCATTGCCGCTGCCGCGGGCCGTAAGGGCAACTTTAACATCAAATTTAACGTGGCACACCCCAAATAAGATGTTGATTTTTTGTTCTTCGTCTACCTCTTCCTCTTATGTAATTACTGTATATTTATATGTAATCAAAAGTCATCAAATGGTTTGATTTTAACAATTCAAACAAGAGATTTGAAAGTGAAGAATTCTTCTCAAATTGGATCCATATGGAGAACTTGAATCTTTTGAGAATTTATAATATACACGCTGATGATATAGACCAATATTAAATGAACATGAGTATGTAACTTTTTTAAAACCGATCTACTCTTTCCTTTTTTCTTTTCTTTTTTTTTATTTGGACACCTCACTTCTCAGAACAAAATTTGTCCTGATAGAACCATCACCAAGTGTGACACTCTCTTTTATATGGACAGGGAAAATATAATTTTCAAAAAGCCTCCAAGACAGTTTTTCTATGTCAAATTGTTGTATAGAATTAACGTTTTAAAATTTGAAAATATTTTAATTCAATTTTTTTAATCAAATTTTAATTTTAATATTCTAATTTCATACTATCGCAAATCTCTGGACAAGTTAAGTTAAATTTTAAGAGTGAGGATAATTCAATGAAAAATTATATATTTAAGACTCACCCACAGATGTCAACTTTGTTCGGCGCGTAAGAAGAGACTATGAGAATAGTCAATGGCGGTAGGTGGATCCAGTATAGTTTGTCGTGTTTAATGAATTGGACAATTTTATGTTGTTTAAGTTACAGGGATGAGCTGTAGAGCCACAAAGCATTCTATTCTATTGTTTTTATATTTGCTTATAAAATGTTAATATCTTCTGTAATAATGAAGTTACAAGATTTCATATTAAGTGAGGATTAAATAACTAGGGAAAAGTTACACGTTGGAAGATTGTTTTCTTTTTTAGATTTTTTCGTTTTTACCGTTACGTCAAGAAATTGTAGTTGCTTTACACTTAATAACTATTTATTGATTATTTTCTCTATAAACAGTTAACTATTTATTTTTTATTGTTAACAATAAAGAATAATCTTTTTAGAACTTATAATTTTTATAAAAGGGATGCTAATCACATAGGATCAGGGATGACGAAATCTTTATTCCCGTTGGATCCTACCCTGTTTAGGATAAGGTTGGGGACCCTTTTATGTCAATGGAGATAGAAATATGACAATTTTTTAAACCCAACAGGGATGGAGATAGGGTAAACCCATCCGGCTCGCGCCGTTTATAGTGTAAGTTTACAAAAACACCCTTGGATATATATATATATCTCTATGTTAAAATAAGTATATATATATATTTTTATATATAACAATGGGAACAATTTAAAACTTAGCAAACAGTCTTTTATTTTTTATTCTCTCTCTCAGCAATGGAAGAATCTCTTTTCTTTCTCCAACAAAAGCAAACAATCATTTATTTATTGAATTCGAAACCTACTTCAACTGACCAAGCAACTGCAATTATAACAAAAAATGAGCTAGTTATGGTGGCGTGGCATGGGCATGGGCATGGGCATGGGTGGGCAAAGAGGGGGCAGGGCGGGAACAAGAATGGGGGTATGGAAGTGAAAATTTATGCTGGTATGGTAGCGGGGATTGGGATGAAAAAATTCGCCGGAGATGAGAATAGGGAATGAGATCTCCACCCCACCCCCTGCCATCCCTAGTTGCGATAATGCAATCACAATCAATGATTTTATGGGACTAAAAAAAACACATTTTTGTTTGTGTGTGTATATTGCTAATAATCTTGTATTTTATGCAAAAATTAAGTTTTTTTTTTTTTTTTTAAACCATAAAATCGGATCTTTAGAATTAAAACCGAAGAAAAATTAGCTTATTACTTACCTTAAAAAATTAATTAAAAAACAAAAGAAAAGAAAAAAGAATTAATTTCTTTTTATTCCAATTCCAAGTAGTCAATACCATGCTCCCAAAGGACAATTGTTTATTACAGATAAGGTTCTAAGGTATTTAAAGCATTAGGTGAGGGGTAGTGGGGACTTAGTTGATGGGTATGCACACCTACCCATTTTCAAAATAATTATACATCAATTATTTCCCTTAGCAGCATATATAGTGAAATTTATTCTGTGTGGTTCATGGTGGTTAATAAGCAAGTCATTAATTACTTACTAAAATTATAACGCAATAGTTTAAATGAACAAAAAAATTATAAATTCCGTCACGTGTACCATATCTATAGTAGGTGTTTGACAAGTATGTCAAAGACTAGAAATTCCCCACCACCTCAAAAGAATCAGAATGGGATTAGTTGTTGTGTTACAGTAAATATTTATGAGGGAAGGAGAAGAATTAATAGCTTAGAAAACCAAAATTACTGATAACAATCTATCCTCCCCCAAATGGTGGTTTTAGTAAATTATCAAATATAATATTTGACTTCGGTCGAGTTGGTAATTTTTCTTACATCTCCTTTTCGGAAGCCCAGATATCATCCATGTCCCCGAAATAAAGTGCCTTGAATACGAGAAAAGAAAAGCACCTATACCTTAGGTACGGAAGTGGTCCAATTTTATTTATATGATGTTCCAATCATTATTAATACATAGTAAAGTTGGCCACCTTCATAGGATAGGTCTTCTCAAAAGGACATAGTTTCATTACTCGCTGTTCGGGCTTTGCCTTTCTTGTGCAGCCTGCTTAGTCTATACACTGTTTGGCTCTTTGCCATGCTTGTATTTGTTCTTCACAGTTCTTTTCTTTTCAATATACTCACCCCTTACCCACAAAAATTTTATATATATATATATATATATATATATATATATGTATGTATTTAAAAAATTGGCTATTGAAATTGAACAGATAAATCCTAGAAGAATGAATGTGTAGAGGATCATAAAAGTAGGAAACATACATTTTAGTGGACCTTACATTGAACTCCAAAACAATAACTCTCACTCAATATGCTGCCCAAACTAGGTCATCAACCTAGGTTTTCTGAAAAAAACATTCTTCCCCTCTCAGTATATATTGGGTAATGCGCTTTGTGTTTTCATAGATATGCTATTCACTCTTCTACCTATATAGTCTACGATGAACATGAAGTTGGCCTAAAGTTAGTGTCTGATTCCCCATCAGAAGTCATACTAGTGGGTTCATTTTGAAACAATCTCTACTAAAATCACCTTTCTTCCAGTCTGATGTACTCTTGCTTCCTTTGGTGAAAATAGGTATGGGAACTGGTTTAAAACAAGGATGTTTGGCCAAATCCATATGTTTACTGCAAGTGTTTAGCACGCAAAAAAGGGGTATTCAACAAGGGGTATGTGAAATCAATGGCAGATGTGTTTGGAAAGAAGAGTTTACTATCTGTTCCACAGGATTGTCACAAAAGAATTAGGCGTCTTCTATTCGATCCTTTCTCCATGAATGCTTTATCTTAGTTTGTCAAGAAATTTGACAACATGCTGTGTGAAAGACTGAAAAATTTGGTAATTCTTTGAATATCCTTCAAACAACACTCAAGTCTACAACTCAGATGGTGCATTAATTAATTCATTTTTGTATCCTATAAAAAAGTATAGATAATCAATACAAAGCCAGTTCACTTTTAAACAATTGAACTTTGCTGGTCAAAAGGGTGGAGGAAAGGAATAGATCGTAGCAAAACCATTCTAATTAAATATTTCAAAGACATGAGGAAGTAAGACAATCTGGAGATCAGTTCTTACAAGTTTTTAAGAAGTCAAAGCACTGCTAACCTATCTAAAAATTCTCTTCATGTGCAGCTTACATTTGATGCAATGTGTGACATGCTAATGAGTGTCACAGACCCTTCCTTTCTGGAACAAAACTCAAAGAGACTATGTTGAAGTTTCCGATGGCATGCTATCATTCCCTGTCATGATTCCCGGCACCACTACAGAGGCATCAAAGTAAGATATGAAGTAGCCCCAAGTACATTAAGTAGCAAAGGCCAGGTTCTAAACCAGGTCTAACCCAAAGAAAGGAGGAGAATATAATCAGCCCTTGTTGGGACAGAAATGCACCAGAAATTAAATACTCACTATACGTACTTTGAAAATATATTGAAAAAAGAAGATAAAATTACATTCTAAGAAATAAGCATTTTCTAACATCTTCAAACTTACTACTGATTCATTTCTAATCCAAACAATTAAATCAAGCAGGCACGTAGAAGGGTCATGGAGATCTTTGGAGAGATGATTGCTAGACGAAGAAATGGGAAAGAGTCATCTGAGGACTTATTACAGTCCATGAAAGAGAGAGATTCATTCCCACCAGGAGAAAAGCTCGATGACACTGAGATCAAGGACAACCTACTAACACGGTACTTGAAGGGGAGTCTACCACTGCAGCTGCAATGATTTGGAGTGTCAAGTATCTGAGTGAGAACATAGAAGTTGAAGACAGGCTCAGATAAGAATTCACAGAAGCTTTTCTGCAAAAATACAAATATGGAACTTTCATAAATTCCAACTTCTCTCTCTATGACCAAAAAACTTTTCTATATTCACACAAAACAAACATCTGTTCCATTGGTAATTATTTTTAAAAATGGTTCATAGGGCCACACAAAAGCTTTACGCTGGCCATCAGCTACTTGATGCAAACCTCCGGGAGGAATAACTGTAAAAGACATTGGGAATGATGAAGGCAAAGTTATAGAAAAAATACATTATACAGACATGAAAAAAAAAAAAAAAAAAAGGGTGTCCATCTAGAAAATAGCCAAATACTTCCTATTTTTGCAAAAACTGCAAGGATACAATTAACCATTTAGGCCCTAGTTAACTACCAGATTAGCATATCACACATAGAAAGAGTCCTGAATTGCATTCCAATTTCTCACTATCAGTAAGAAGAACTATCATTCTTGTGAACTTACAGGAAGAGCAATTGTCAATCTCAGAGAAAAGCCAAATGGAGCTCCACTTGCCCTCGAAGATCTTAACAAAATGTCCTATGGATCGAAGGTTAGAAATTGGCTGTGCATATATAGACACTAAATTTTTGATCTTTTGGCCTGTACCTAGTCCAGATGGAATGGTGTTAAATGTTTACTTGCAATTTTCAGGTTGTCAAAGAGACACTGAGAATGTCAAATGTCTTGTTGTGGTTTCCTTATTGCGCACTAATGACTGCACAATTGAGTGAGTCACTGGTCCTCAAAGTTTCTTTCCCATGCTGGAAAAATCCAGCTTATCCAATTAGATTGACGCTTGGAGAGGGTGTGGTGTGGGTTCCCACGCTCGTGATTTTTGGAGGGTGGCACCATTTTGCGTTTGGTGGTGCAGGAAGGGAGCGGAAAAGTAGACATTTTTACTTGGAAAAAAAATATTGGTTAGTCTGTTCATTCTGCCTAAGGCAGTTCTAACTGAGATCAAAGTGTTGAGGAATTTCTTGTGGTGGTTTGGGGTTTTTAATCTCAGAAAAGCTCAACAAGGCTGCAATTCTTAAACATCTTTGGTGCATTTTATCAAACAATAGGAACACCATATGGTGCCAGTGGGTGAGAGTGCAACTAAATCGTAACAGATGCATTTGGAGCATCAACATCTCTCAAGCAAGCTCATGAAATTGGAATTTGGAGAAAGTTGGTAATGGAGATGATACTTACTTTTGGGAAGATAATTGGTTCTGATTCGCAGACTGAGTACTGATGCCATCCAGAGATCAGAGATTCCACTGAGTCACAAACTGTCTAGCGTCATCAGCAACAATGAGTGGAGCTTCCCTGAACTTGCCCTAATTGATTCGCCAAACCATTCATTCAGTTCCTGATTCCGATCAAGGACTCAATCCTCGCTAGGAGAATCATGCTTGATTGGGATTTGCCTGCCACCGCCGGAGCCTCCTCATGTGCCTTTTGAGGCTGCGCTCGACAGGGTAACACCGGATTGCCACAGAACCGTTACCTATGCGGTTCTTTGTATGTTTTTGAATTTTTGGGCTAAGCCAGTAGCAGTCTTGGGTTGTATGGGCTTTAGATTGTATCTGTCTTTGCCTTGGACCATGGTGGTTTGTTAGGCTCTTTTGTCTTGGGCCTGTTCTGTCTTTGGGTTTTTGCCCTATGTACATAATTACATTATTCAATTTATACAACTTTAACTTCCAAAAAAAATTAAAAACAATTTATCTAATGGCTTATCTTTTCCTCATTTTTAATTCTTTCATTTTTCCCCCTTTTTTTTAAAAAAAAAAAAAAAAAAAACTTGAGATAAATCCATATGCACTCAGGAAAAAAAAAATGTACATGGTTAGGAAATGATTTGATTTGGTGGGAGAATTGGAAAGAGAGTAGCATGAGCTAATACGGATAAATTTAAACTAAATTTCTTGCAATTTTAATTTTAATGCATTGATGCATTGCCAACAATGCTCACCCTACACAACAATATCAAATGGTGGTATTAGATTGCGGTGACATGATTTAAAGTTGAGAGCAGGTTCTATCTACGTAAATAACCTTCAGTGTCAAATCACAACGTGTGAATTGCTTATCCTTTCAAAAAAAAAAAAAAAAAAAATCAGTTGGTTGTGTGAGATATTCACTTGACTATTTTGCGTAACCAGGCATTGAAAGTGTAGCCCTTTTTACCTCTAACAACCTGAAACATGGTGACAATTCTAATCCCTCACTGCACATTTCCATCCATCTCTCTCCTCCTTTATGCGTATTATATATATTATATACATAACAGATATTTGGCTCAGTTTATTTATCATTTTTATTTTGTGAATAAAAAAGATCACATAAACAGCAGTTGTATTAGCAATACTATAGCATGGACAAATACAAGAATTTGTCAGTCTATATACTGATATTCATAAACAGATAACTAATTTATATAAATGTATATATTTTTGACGATATTATAACAGACACCTGAACCTATCAACAGACCTAACATTATTCTTGTCAAAAACAGTTGGAGATAGTTCGAAATCACGTAGTCTGGATCAATCACAACAAACCATACGAATAATGTGTCAACTTTAGAGTCGGTTTGGTTCAAAATTGACCTATTGTATGCCCAACCACTCAACCAACTAGTAATCTCTCATTGGTTTGGGCTACATAATTAAGATTTTGGTTGTGGCATTGGAAATCTGAACTCCTAATCCGTAGAACTTGACTTCTGGGTTGCCAAAATGTCTTGGATGGTCCACTACTACATGTTTAAAGTCCTCTTTAATTCAAGTACTGGAGAGAGGTTGGAGAGCTGGCTATACATTAAATGTATTGACCTACCCACAAAGCACCGACAACTAGAGATATTCAATTCACGAGCCTTGCAATTAATTGTTAATATACATTTCAATCTCTCACACAGTCACACACCAGAATCACCTACCCTCATCTCTCACTCTCTCTCTCTCTGCAACTACTAATATACTGTTATTTATCAGTGAAGCAAGTCTTTGATGATGCTTTAAATGACGAAGATGAGAGTCTCGGATGCTCTGATATGTAATTGGAACTATGTGTGGGGTGTAAACACGTTGATGCTCAAGTTGTTAGATCTGGGAGGCTTCTTCAGTAGCAATTTTAGGGTTGGTGGTTTCTCTACACTCTCTCTCTTCTCTCTCTCTGCAACATCTTCTGTGATCATGGTAATGCTGGCTCTTTTGATTGATGCTATGCTGGTTTTTCAACTCCGTCCGTGTCGGGTCAACTCCAAGGTATGCACCGGAGGCATTTGTTGGCATAATGTGCATAGCCACAGTCTCTGCCATGAAGAACTCACACTCATCTAAATACAAGTTATCGTAAATTAATATTGTACACAACTTTAATTTTATGAATAAATGGTTAGGATGAATGTACACATCTATTATGTGCACTATTGTCACCTCCAAAATGGATGGGATTCTTCATCTTTCTCCCCTGATGTGCCTAATTGGGATCACCATATATATATATATTATATGTATGTGTGTATATATGTGTGTATAAAAGATACCGATCGAATTGATTGTTATTGTTGTCACCTGGAATCATTCCCCGGTTGTGTCCGAGCCACACTCCGATCTTGAATATTCAAGATCTAAGAACTGTTTTTTCCCGTCAAACAGTGAGGTTTAATTTTACAAACCTACAAGGATAACAGTGTTAAAGATTGACATTTTTTTTTCCAAGGATCGCCGCACATATAATGTGGGACGTGGTATTTTTCAAAATCTTGTAAACTTTTTAAAATTGATTCCTGCATTTCCCAACAATAAGAATAATAATAATAAATACATATAATTCCAAACTTCCAAATAACTAGAGAAAATAAAGCTCATACTTTAACAAAATATTTTTCTAACATTGCGTGTATTTTTCTAAATTACAACTCCCAAATTACATATATTGATGTAAAATTAGGGATGCACAAAAAAATCAGTTAAGCCTATAAGTTGAATCGGACCAAACTAGACAGTAAGTTTGGTTTGAATTTTTCACCATTCGCAGTTCCAAAAATATATAACTGTCTCTAAAAAGTTGCTTAAGGTTCCGAACCAAACTGTTTTATAAATTATATATATATTTATATATTTTGTATTATATAAATAAGAGAATAATAAAATTATAGTCTTTTAACCACCCAACTATATATCATAATATGTAATAAAAAATTATATTAGAATAGAAAATTATATTATATATTATTTATATACATTAAAGAAGTCTATAACCGTGAAACCGAACCGAACTGAACTAAATCGTTTTCTCACAATTTGATTTGGTTCGATTTCATTGCCTTCACAATTCTGTTTGGTTTCAAACCTCAAATTTTATGAACCGTTAGAAATAGTTTGGCTCCAAAATATTCCCAAACCGAATTCCGGTCCAATCCAAACCATCTGCACGCCTATGTAAAACAACACCAAAACCCCTAAAGGAAAATATATCTGAAATGATAAGCATAATATAACTCTGGTTTGAACAAGAATAAAACCTCACAAATCAACACAGATTCACAACACCCTGTAGAGGAAAATATTGCAGAAATGAGAACAATCGATATATATAAACTTGTTTGAGCAAATTTAAGTGCCATAAAACGACACGAATCAAACACATTTTAAGACTGCAACAAAAGCACTCTCATTAAGCAATACAAGCCGTAGGACCCTGCTACCAAAGCAAGCACGAAAAGCACAGCATCTTTCAAGTGCATAAAGAACACATTAGATTATTAATGGAGGTGCACACAAATGTTTATGTTTTAGTTCCATAAAAGATTAAATAATGATGCCAACGAAATCATGCAATGGTACAAACTTTGATTGGGGAGTTCAAGATGGAGAACCACAGTCCACTTTGGCAAAAATAATGTCAGAGGTTCCCTCCACTTTCCCCTCCAATTACCCCGTGCAGCATTTCCATACACCGGACAATGCACGCCTTCAAAGGACATCTACTGTAACCATAAACCCTTCTCCCAGCCCCAAACCAACCCGAAGAGAATATTTACTATGTCCATAAAAGTTACTGTACCATTAAAAAACAGAGTTGAAATACCACTTTAAAGGAAACAACTCTTATAAATTGAATTGAAACACTACAGATATCACATTTAATTTTGCCCCTTCCATGAAAACAAGGATGGTCTGTTCTACAGCCCTCTCTAGATGAATAAAAACCATCACCATTTCAGCCACAATGAACAACTGTTTGACCTGCAAAGCAAAAGTTGCACCAAAAAAATTAATTGCAAAGCTAGAGATCCAATAACTAATAATGCACGATCAAGAGTACTGAAAGGTAGGTAAAGATTAGTCTGACAAATTGGAAGCATTTCTATAAGGAGCTGCTGGACAACACAAACTAGGTACGTTCAGAAATCACACCTGACATCAGATGTCAATCCCAGGGCAGCATCACTTCTCCTCCTCGTTTGGTCCTTTATCCTCATTCTTCTTCTGCTGGGACTACCAAGAACAATCAACAATGGAATTACAAAGAATTCGTAACATCTAAAAATTTAAACTGTATGTAGACAAATCCCCCCTCAACGCTGACACAAGCAACATGATCAACTGTCTTACAATGATTACCGTTGATTTAGGTTCTTAGTAAAGCACCATAGCCTAACGGACTCTCATGCTAAGAATGATCCCAATTTCTGATGTAGCAATGGTCACTTTCAGAAAAAGGTTTTTTTTTTTTTTCTTCAAACATCAGAAAAAGGTGATCAATTGTTATTTGACACATTGCGGTCAGTAACATCGGTGAATTAGGTGAAGGTACGGAAAGAGAGGGATTCGAACCCTCAGTAAACAAAAGCCTACATGGCAGTTCCAATGCTACGCCTTGAACCACTCGGCCATCTCTCCTACATAATAATTATATGATCCAAAAACCGAGTGAATACTAAGTTATTCATATTGGATTAGTGGGCAGGTACGACCGATCAATTCTAAGTATAAAAATAGAAAAAAATTCTTCAAAGAAAGATCTTTCCTTCGACGCTCCGGAGATAAAGATAAAAGTTTAAATCCCAATTACAGTACTTGTGAATCAGATCGTCCATATAATATACAAAAAGAAACTCTACATATTTGATACTCTTTGAATAATATAAGAACCCAATACTGTTAACAAAGACAGCGAAAAAATACCAAACCCAATTCAGCACCACACAAACTAAAAAGAAAATGGCTAAAAGACAATCGGCAAATGCCAATTAAACCTATGATTGCGAAAATTGCACTGCCTGCATGTGTGGCTTGGGGTCATGCTTACCTACTGATGCAAAGCATGAACGACAAAATCATTCTTTCTTTTTAAATTTATAAGTAAAATATGGCTGACAGAATCTTTCCTTTGCAGAATCCAAGTTTTAAGGGTTAAAGAGAAAAAGGATACATACATAGATGGTTTATATACCTAACAACAAAAAGAGAATTTTTCAACAAACATAAATGCTCCACTATTTCCCCTAATTTCCCAAGCAAGGCTTTGGGCTTTAACTTGTGGCGGTATATTTCTCTGATCATAAATGCCCTTCACATTATCTCTCTTTTTGGTCCTCAATAACCCGACCACCACCTCCTCCCCCCAAAATCCGGGGAGAAAAAAACCAAAATAATAATTATTATAATAATAAATAAAAAGGTAAACCGCAACTAAGACGGGGTTGGATACCATGGTAAATATTGACATATGACAGCGTTCTTCGTAGAGATTAGTTATCTAGAAAAAGAGTATTATATATCATGACGAGCGTGTCTAAATTTACCATGCATCCTTCTAAAAAAAAAAAAGAAGAAGAAAGGTAACTAAAAAAAACCATAAATATACAAAGAACAAACTCTAACAGATGAAATCAGAGGTAACAACATGACACTTTCTGAAAAGCTGAACCTTTTAAGATAGATGACCTCACCTCAGACTGATTTTGCATAGATGCGAGCAAATCTTTGACTGAAGGATCATTTGGATCGACTCCTGGAAGCTGTAAGAGCACATTTAATGCATTGTGAAATGAAAACATTTTCCGGGAAAAAAAATATAATAAACTTGAAACGTGATCTTATTCTTGTTTTTTCCAGGACTTTCTTTTCTACAGTGTGAGTGGGTGAAAGGGTGGGGGCTGGCACATAAAAAATTTGTATTGGCAATAAAGAACACATACCGAAGCAAGGATAGACGAAACAAACGACTGGTCTGTCAATAGCTTGTTCATGTCTGTCTGGCTTGCTTGATCTTTTGTACTGTCCTGCACTGACAATTGAAGAGCTGCATGTACCACAAGAAGCAAAATATATCAGGAGATTTGTAAAAGTAGAAAAAATTTCTTAAATTGATGAAGTATAAATCTTGGTATAGAAAATTTTAAATTAATTTAACACACTAAATTTAAGAAATTTATGTACAACTAAGTATGGAGGTGGGAGGGGATAACACGTAATGTGCCCCAAAATTTCACCAAGCATATAAACCTAGGCAAGTCCTTCTATACACTGTTGAAAAACCTGGTGATTGTAATTTCAAAACTAGCCAAATCACCCTCCAAATGGCCCCGGCAGTTCCAAACTGTAGCTAGAAAGACTTAGTTAAGTTGCACATCTCTCATGAGACTATGCATGAAAAAAGATCAAACATTGGTGTAACGGTAACTTTGTGAAAGTAATATTAGGGGTTAGTACCCACTCTACCCTCCCAGCACCATGCACTATCGGGACCAGCACTGTGTAACTGGAAAACAGAACACTAGGGAGAATGTAACTTAAACAGAACATGTAATTGGAACATGGTGAAATCAAAGCCATCTTGTTTAGTTATTCCTCGCACATGCTTGACCAGATTATATGTCTGAAGTTGAGCAAATGTGCAAGAAAGGACATCTTATTTTGAAGCCCACTTAATTACATGCAATGTAGCTATGGATTAAAATATTAAAAAAGAGACGTGCGCTTAAGTATATATACTTGAAGTATAAACACCAATGAAATACTAATAAGGATATAAATTCCATGCACCACTGACACAAAGTCATTAATGAGACACAAAACACACAAGGCTCAAACAGATAAAACAACTCACCGAGAGCCAAGTCTTGATCATCCGCAGCTGCCTCTGACATATCTGTGTCTCGCACAGCAACACTAGCAACAGGGTCATCCATTGACATAGCAAGGGCCTGCTGCAGTAGAGCATTCTCATCATCCTGTAAATCCAAGGCGAATTCAACTAAGTATTAATTATACTGACTACTGATAACTGTAAATCACAAGCGAGGTACAAATAGATCAACAGCCAAAAGACATGAAAGAAGATTCAAAACGTTCTGAACTTCTTTTAATGAAATGGTGAGCCAAAAAGAACCATTGTTTGATGGAGGAAAAAATACAACAAACAAAAACATTGATACTCGGCAACTTCTACCAAGTTGGATTGAAGATGGGATTGATTTAGGGGGTTTATCCTTCACTACTATGCCCACCCCTACTATATCGTTAAACTACTAAAAATGATTTGTTATTTTTAATGAAATACCCAAGCAATCCAATTAGGTAAAAACTTATGTCTAGTTGTCACAGGGTCAGGTTCCCATTTCACTCGCAATATCTAGCTTTGTCACCCCAAGGGACATGTGTAGCATCAACTCTCTATAACTAAGATTGTCAAAACTTCCCTTTCATGATCCCCAAATGGATTGTGACTACACGGGCATTGCTTCAAGGGAAAACACCTCCACATAAGGAGTTGTAACTTGTAATGTCTGTTACCAGATATTTTTCCACATATGGGGAAAAATACGTCCACATGATCCCGATTTTCAAAATCATTTTGTAACGTCTGTCACACCTCGCATCTGCTGCACTGTGCCCACATCTGTAGCCGTGTTCTGGATTTGAACTAATTTTATTAAAAAATTAAAAATAAAAGGTGGTGGGCATGAAAGGGTACAAAGAAGTGTTCCAAAGTCACAAAAGTGATGTTAACTAAAAAAATAATATTTTATTTTATAAGCATTGATGATCATCTAAAAAATTCAACTATTAGTTTCCTTTGAAGTCATCGCCTTCCTTTTATTAGTCACAGAAATTACCAGTAATGTCAACTTTTCTCACCAACTTCCCAAAAATATATTGATCAGATTCTTGGAACAGAGGTCTTTCATGGTGGGTAGCAATGTTGCCAGTTCTTCTACTCTATGGTGGCTACTTTGCAGCAAACACAGAAATCAGTCTCTGCTTTAAAGTTCCTTTGAATAGTATTGGAGGGAGGGGATTTTCCCATCCATGCTTGGTCACTTAATTTGACTTCTATCCCATCATTAACTACCTCAGAACACTCTCTCTCACAATCTAAGTTAGAAAGTACCTTTAGAAACAAAATAAATGATAGTTGCAAAAAAGACTCAAAGAAATGTGTGGATTCTAAAAACAAAAAATCAAAATAGGTGGTGGTTAAATTTCAACGTGTTCAAGGTGTTCCATGACGCCAGAACTGACAGCACAGTGATCAGCATCAATGCCACTTTACATTGCTGTTCCGTTTACATTGAGTTAGTAACCTTTATATATAACCACAACCAAGAATGGAATTTAGAGATGTCCAAAAGCTTCATTCAATTTAAAATGAAACACGTCCATTCATGAAGCGGCTAGGGGCACCAGCCCAACAACAACCAGTTTTTTTGTTAACCAACACTGTAATTTTCACATGCTAAACCTATTATGACAAGCTATGGAATTTTAAATTGTAAAGCAAATGAGTCTGAAACTTAAAGGCGTACATTAGATAAGCCCAAAATTTTATGCAGGTTAAAGGAACGAGGCTCCCGCCATTGTGGGGTCTGTGGAGGGTCAAATATATGCAGACTTACAGCCGACATGTGGTGAGGATGTTTCCAGTTTCAAACTTGTGACCTCTAGTAACAATGGAGCAACCTTACTGTTGCGCAAAAACCCACACTCACCAAAAAAATTTGCATGGTGTGATTCATGATAAATGAAGAAAATCACCGAAACTAAACCTCAAGGAAAGTCCTTTTCCAATTTATGTTGATCACATTTTCAAAACGGAACTTATACAAGCACATGGTTGTGAATGCAAAAATTAAATAAAATGATTAATAGTTTACAGATAAAGGAAAGAAAAATCAAGCCTTTAGAACATGCAGGCAGCGTGTATGACGTGCTAATCGAGTACTTATGTTACATTTAATTTGAGAAAGTTTATCACGTGTGGGTACATTTCTACACATTCGATTTATATAATTCGCAAATCCAAGGACATGATGACAGGGCTAAACATTCACATTGTTTAACATTCTTGTTTTAGAGTAAAATGGTAATTTTATGCACATATATTATTTAACGTGTGTACTTTATCATCGCTTCTTGATGTAACAAGTGATCATAATAAGAGAATTTCAAGTAAAATACAGTAAAATTGAATTGCCAGAATTTTTTTTTCATAATTAATTGCTAGAAATTCTTTTTAGTGCACACCCGGATACATTGGAAACATATCTCATGTCCATATCAATGCCATATAGTCCGCAAGTCCTTTCCACATTTAGAATAGTGTGTATAGCGTAAACGGGCTTTGACTATTAAGCACAGCACTTAGAAAGGAGGCAATATAAGATCAAAAAGCGAAATAGAACACTAACCGTTAGATCAGTTGTCTTATTTTCTGCTTCAGAAGCTGCAACACTGACATTTTCAGCCATAGTTGCATCTTGTGAAGTTGATTGTTGTTCACCTCCTTTTTCTTGTTTCGCAGCATCCTCTGCAGCCTTCTTAGCAGCTGCTTCTTGCCTTGCCCTCTCCTCTTCCATTGAAACTCGCAGAGCAAGGGCCAGTTCAGGATCCAGATTTGGATCCACACCAAAATCAAAACCAGATACACCACCAGCTGCAGCTGCTGCCGCCGCTGCCGCAAAACCACTGCCACCTTCGCCATCCCCAGTAAAGATAGGAGTACTACAATGGAAAAAATAATAAATAATAAAATATAACTCAAAATGTATATTAAATATTAACACGAGTAAGTGCATATAGAAGCATGACAAGTAACCTTATAAGAACATCAGAAAGAGCACTTGAACCAGAAGGAACGTGAACAATGTGACTGCTGTCATTGTTATTAACAGCAGAAAGAAGTCCCTCGAGCTTTTCTGGCTTTCCATCATCTTCTTCACCAAAGTCAACAATATCGAGAGCTACACTGTTCTTTTTTAACTTCCTTCCTATCATCTCCAATACCTTCTTGTCATATTTGACAGGACTGAAAGAATAATTTGAAATGAGGATGTATGTCCCACCCATGCAAGCTGCTGGGAGATCAAAATATGCAAATAAGGCACATGGGTAATTACCTTCCAGCAAATACAATAATCCTTTGTTGCTGCTTTTTATTTTGGCGGTGCTTGAGAGCCAATTGAGCCACCTGGATCCCTGCTGCCAAGTTCATCTCACCACCTATTTCTAAGCCTGAATTAAGAAACAATGAAACTTAACCACATCGGACAGTCAAAAAAAGAAAATCAATTAATGAATAAAAATGAAGATTACACCCTTCACAAAACGGGCACATTCGAACGGACGTGAAGCTGTATCAGGTGTAACATAACAGAGTCTACTATTGCGGTCATGAATTTTTTTGACCTTACACAAAGTCCCAAAATGCACCTATACACAAATTTTTACAATATAAAATACTAAATATGGCTTTTAATGTATTGTAGTTATTTTTCCTAAATTTTAAAAAATTATTTTAGGCAAATAATGGACCTATACATAAACCCTAAGTCAATGTCATTATTTAAGGCTTAATAATATATACTTTTTTATTACATTAATGAGTAAAAATAGATTAATAACGAAACATATAAAGTTTATGACATAAAATATATATCTAATTATATTGTACCTCGACAATAGTTGCTCTATTTTATTTTATTTTTTGGCCATTTTTTATATTCAATTCTTTATAAACTGTTGATTTATTATATCTCATCATCATATGTTGCGGATAAATGCATAAGATAATTTATCTTCAGGAACTTTAACCTTCAAGTTTCACACACAGCAACTAAAGAAAGTAAAAGAAGAAAATTGAGAAGGGAATGAGAGAGACAAGCGAGCTTCTCTCACGCCGTAGTCTCATGTGGCCGCACCAAAAATCTCCAGCCAAAATCTCACGTGGTCACGCTAGCACCCTAAATTTAACATCTTTAAGTAAGTCTTTTGGCTATTTCTCTCTCATCTTCTCCTTTTTGTCGTCGTACTTGAAACCTAGTTTATTCCCTTTTTTCAGTTTTCACAAGAATCAAATAGAAGTTTTATTCTTTCTTTTTTTATCTGTCCCATTATTTTATTTTTTTTGATAAGTAAGAATTGTATAAAAAACGCTTAAAAGGGGAGTGCATCCCAAAGGAACAACAAAAATCAAAGACCACTAAGCCTTCAAAGAGGCCAAAAAATCAACAATGTCCTCGAGAGATCTTATCTGTCCCATTATTCTCGATCTGTTTTTACTCTCGTTTTTTTAAAAAATAAATAAATATATAATCCCTCAATTTTCTTCTCTATTCCCTTCTCTCTCTTCTACTTCATGCAAGTGAGAGTGAATTTTGATCTTGTGTGTTTGAAGTATAATGGAGAAACTGGATGTTTTATAAAGGTGCACAATCGTCAGCAAAGTGACCCGACCGATACTGTGCTGACTTGGCCAAGGCCGATCAATTTTCCCAAGTTTTGCCCAATTCTCACTGATTCCAACCAAGTCTGTTGTGATTTGTGAGTCCTACCGAAAAATTGGGGAGACACGAATAGAGTCCATTACAATTCGACCGAGTTGGGACTCGGGCCAAATTGGCCGGTTCCTCGAACTATGTTTAATCCCCTTGTTTCTAGGGTCCTATTAATGGTGTATCTTGAACACTCAAAATGCTTTTTGTTGGAGGTGGACAAATCTTGGATGCAGTTCTCATTGCCAATGAATGTGAGGATTCTAGAATTAGAAGTGAGGTGTCTAAGAAATTGTTTGCAAGTTGGATATTGAGAAAGCCTATGACCACGTTCACTGTGCATTTTTGTTATATATATTATGGAGCAAATAGGCTTTGAAAAGAGGTGGAGGAATTATTTTTTGCATCTCCATGGTGAGAATCTCGATTCTGGTGAATGGATTCCCAACATGTTTTTTCAGTAGCTAGAAAGGTTTGAGACAGTACAACAACTCGGATAGAGATTTAACACCTTTTATTCACAGATGATACTATAGTGCTCGACAAAGAAGCATTTGAGATACCTAAGATGTGTGTTGGTGTGTTTTCAGGTAATCTCCAGTCTGAAAATAAATATTAAAAATGGAGAGATTGTTCCGGTGGGGAAATTTAATAGCATATTCGTGTTAGCCAATATCATAATAGGTGGTCTTGGAACCTTTTCGGTGTCTTGCTCGAGTCTTCCTTTGGGAGCTCATTGAAGGTGGCATTTATTTGGACTCCAGTGATGGAAAGGGTCAAGAAAAGGCTACCTAGATGGGAAAAAATGTCTATCGAAAGGAGGCCATCTTACCTTATTAAAGAGTACTCTTTCAAATCTTCCCACCTACTACCTCTCTTTATTCCAGATTTTCTCCTCTTTTGTAACTTCGTGTGGCAATGAATGAGAGATGCAAGTATTACTTGGTGAACTGGAAAAAAATTGTAGACCTCTTGGTCCTCTTCGAATGGGTGGTTCCAATATAAGAGAATTTACCTCATTCAATATAGCTTTAATAGGCAAACAACTTTGGAGATATGGGATGGAGAAAACAGGCGAATTCCGTCCATTTCCTGGGCTAACCTTTTTTTCAAGGGTTTGAATAAGTGTGGATGAATGGGAATATTATGATATGTTGGCAATCTCTTTTCTAATCATCCACGCTCTCCACACCCTCCTGCTTGTACAATCTAACCAAAACAAACTACAATATCATCCAATTCCCAATCCTGAATATAACGCTCAATCTGAGTATCCAATGTTTTTTTTTTTTTTTGATAAGTAAGAGACGAGTGTTGAGTTAAAACAAATCTGAGTATCCAATGTTATACCAGTCTTTAAAGGTGATAACAGTTGGCCACTATTCCTCCTTGTGGCAAATACTTTCTGGTTGATCCACACCATACTTTCTAGAGTATCCAATGCCGTACCACAGTTTTTAAAGGTGATAACAGTCGGCCACTATTCCTCCTTGTGGCAAATACTTTCTGGTTGATCCACACCATACTATATTCTCGTAAGATGATAGACACTAGCTAACAGTCCACCTGGTGCTACATCATAGGCACATTGGGAGTGTAGATGATTCTAACTCATCAATTTATCTTGAATCGGGATCTTCTGGCTCAACTATCCCAGTTTTGCCAAGGGAAAAACCCAATTACCCACGATGAGTGGAATTGGGTGGGCTCTAAGCATGGAGGTTTTATGGTGAAGTCTTATTATCAGATCCTCTACGGAGATCAAGTGCCCACCTTCCCATGGAAAACAATTTAGAGATCTAAAGTCCCTCTCGAGGTAGCTTTCTTTGGATGGACAATGGTCCTTGAAAGAATTCTAAGGTTGCACAAGAATTCTAATGTTGGACAATTTGAAGAAGATGAGGCAGATGGTTATTAATTGCTGCTACATGTGTAAGAGGATGAGGAGTCAATTAGACATCTTCTCTGATATAACCCAATGGCAAGGGATGTCTGGGCTATGTTTTTCACTATCTTTGGCGTTGAAAGGGTTTTGCCAGAGACCAAGATCAAAGTGCTTGAGGCTTGAAGGAGATATGTAGTGGTAAGCCAAGATAGAGACCCATGGAGGGCCAGACCCCTTTGTATTTGGTGGGGGTTTTGATGTGGGAAAAATAGGTGGTCTTGTGATGGTGCTGAAGATCCGATTTGGATGTTAACGCACCATATCCTGAACTATCTCTTTTCTTGAAAATCTATGGGTGATTTTTGGATAGTTTGAGACTTTAAAGCTATAGATTTTTTCTTTCTTTTTTTTTTTTTCCTTTTTTTTTTTTTTTTTTTTTTTTTTTTCCAGTTGTTCTTTGGGTTCGCTCCCCTATTGGTGTTTATAATAAAATTCTACTTGTCAGGGAAAAAAATGTTCTATTTCAGTAGGATGTGCCCTTCGCTTCTGATGTATCATAGATTTTTTCATAAAATCCTTTATCCCGACTACTTGGGGTGAATCGTATGTTTCCATTCCGCTTTGTTTAAAGCCATAGTCTCGGTCAAACAAGCTATCATATCCTTCTTTACTAACTCTACTCACGTTAACCAACGCTGGTTAGGAATATCGTATGTCAATATTCCTAACCAACGCAGCTAAAGATCTTCTTTGCACATATTTAGACCATCTTATCCGATTTTCTCTCATTTTATCTCCAATTTGTGCTACTTCAACTATCTCACGAATGTTGTCATTTCAAATTCTATCCTTTCTAGTCTTACCGCAAATCCATCTTAACATTCGCATTTCTACCACACTCAATTTATGCATATGTCAACATTCTGTGCCAATAGCGGTTCGATTAATTTCCTTTTAATTCTTCATAAAATCCATATTTAGCAAAAAAATTAAAAAAATAATAATAATTGTGTCTCATTATATAAATAGATGTGCGTGTGTGTGTGTGCACATTGTGACTAACATTTGGCATACACGGTCTTTTATGAAGCTATCAATTATTTGAATTTCTATCTCATAATATAATAAATGACACCAAAACCAAAAGGCTGGGAGTCATGTTGCATTAATTGATTTTGGACTAAATTAGACATGATATACTATTATTATGTCTTAATTATTCTTCTTTTCCAAGTATTTTAAACCCTAAATGTAAAATTATAGTGTGATATTATTATAAAATAAATGCTGCTTTGAATTTTCAAGGTGTAATAGGCATGTGTTCCTATGAGAAATATCATACACATATTCAATATAAGGATTGGCTTGGTGCAGTGATGAAAGCACCCAGCAACAACTCACCCACGTAGCGGTGACATTCATAGGGTACTGCAATTGTCAAATCATGTGATGTCTAGAAACTATCAAATGTTTATTTCTGAGTATAGAAGTATATTGGTATTGGGATATGATTCCGTTGTAGAAGTACATGTGCTACATTGAGTAAGAATAAAATAACCAAGTTTGGCCACCAAGGCATATCATGGCTAAGTGTTGAAGTCCTAAAGGGAGTAATATCCTGTCATGCACATTCAAATCATTGGTAGCAGAATTCTTAATCAAAGATCAAAACTTTCACTGGTTGTTAAACAGCATCTGCATTATATTTCCTCTAAGAAACTAGCAAATATGTCCCAAAGAAACTGTACACGCTATCACCAATCAAACCCACATATGCAATTTTCATTACCCAAATAAGTACACAAATCTCTTTCTATGACTTCTATTTTTTTGAATTCAAAAATTATAGCCACTTCTCGATGTTCTAATTGCAAAATATCAGATTGGGATTGTGCCAAGAGACCATAAACTATTCAAAAAAATAAATTCTAGTAACGAAGCTAACCGTGCATGCAGGCTAAGATCTTTCCAAGATCACTAGTAGGAGTAACCAATACGCGAACCCCTTTCCCGGCCATGGTCAGAACTCCAACAGTGTTCTCCGGATTAGACTGTTACAAACTCCCAGAAACAAAATTCCAAAACAACTACACATCAGATACAAACCCAAAAGCAATGAAAGGGATTGAATTGCAAAAATTAAACAAAACCGGCTAATTTAAGCCTTAACACACAATCATACAAATATATCAATTAATGTGCATATGCATACATATGTATAGAGAGAGACAAATACATGTATACGAAAGAAAGTAAAAGTCGAAGAAGATTGGTGACCTGGGTTTTGGCCCCACAAATAAGATTAACAGCGTCGGCTTGAGCTTGAAACCTGTTGGGAGAGTAATCGCCGTTTCGCATCCATTCAGAGTTATCGATGCAGATCATTGTCGCCTGATGCATATTGAAAGATCGATCAAAAACCCTAGTTAGCAATACACATGAAAATAATAGGGAATTAAGGGATGAAGATGCAAGCGTATGAGATTGAAGGGCTGACCTCGAGCACCATGGTCGTAGATTCACAAAGACAGACGAAAGATCGAAAGGAAGAGTTGCGAAGGACCTCGCTGTGTGAATTTGGGTTTACTTGCTCGCTACTTAACGGAGTACTTTAAAACGAAATAAGTCTAAAATATACTCGTATTTATAAGCATATAAAGCCTGATACCCACTTAAATTCAACAAAGGAGTCATTTTTATTTTTTTTTTACTTGTCAATAAGTTGTTTTGTTTAATAACTTTTAATGCTTAATTTTGAATAAATTAATGCCTGTTCGATTTCATATCAGGAGTGCAAGCCATTGAGCTTGCAGAAATGGAACAAATTTTTAAGAAAAATAAGATTTAAATTTTAAAAAGTTATGAATAACTTATCAATTTATAACTAGTAATTAACCACTATTAAAATATTTACTGCATTGATTTTCGTATAAGCATTAAAATAAAGAGAAAGAGGAAGAGTAAAAACCATATTTGAAATAAGAAACTCATTTCATGTTCGGTGTGCTTATTAAAATAAGTGAAAAGAGATTTTTTTTTTTTTTTTTTTTTTTTTTTCCCTTTTTTTAGACCTTTGGCAAAATATTCCCACACCTTTTTTTTTTTTTTTTTGGACCAGAACACTCCACCTTCTACATTAAAACTAGTTGGAGTACAGAATTATATTTTCATGAGTCATCTTTTAGGCCCGGTCTAAATTGACCTGGCCCAACCAGCCCACCAAGCTTTTGGGCCCAAGCCTAACTTCGAGCTATCGGCCTTTTCATCCCTCCTGTGTGCTTTACTTTGTGGCTTGTTCCCAACTGGTTCAGATCAGGAGTGCAAGCCATTGAGCTTGCAGAAAATCCAAACCATGCTAGGCTTACACAACTATATAACAGACAAGTAATGATACTCGGACTTATTTCTCAGGCCTAAAAGGCTTTTATTCATTGAATGGCATAGATAAACTCAAGTATAGGTCCCATCTACTAATTCACAGGCCAGACAAATCCGCCTAAGAAATTGGCCTACGAAATAGGTATGATAGGTCGAGAATGAATTAATGAAAATACAAACAAAGGAGTGAGGCGTCAAATTGAAAAGAATAAAAGACGATAGAATTAATATTCCAAGAATCAAAAATAAATATTTTGATTGCATAATACCTAGAAAAAATCATGACCAAACCTTATATATAGGACATTATGAAAATTAATGCTAAAATTAAACATTACCAAAAATAATAATAATAAAACCCTAATTAACAAAAAAACCCCTAATTCTATTTATTTTTTTCCCCCTCTCCACGTGCAAGTCATGTGGGCTACAAGCAATCCGTGTTGTGTGCTGGTCTCCACCAAATTACTCTTGTTCTCATTTATCAATGCTATCATATAAAAGTCTGCAATCAGAGAGACTAGAATATAAATAGTAGTTCAAGGCAGTGGAAGAAGACATGAATGATCCTATACATCATTGTTGCCATTGTGTTCATTGCCATAGTTGTCATCATAACAACTGTAGTTAGGACCATCAGGAAATGGAACCTGGAGCTGCTCATCACTCGGTGAAATTTCGTTAGTTTGACCTTGTTCTTTTACATAGGCATGTTGATGCGAGGACATGGCATCATCATATCCTTTTGAGCTTCCTTCCACGCTGCTTGTCGCAATGGTATCAATCCTGTCTGTCTCATCCGAGTCCAGGGACATGGTTGATGTTGCACTTAGAAGAGTAAAAGGAGGACCTCCTTGTTTGGCCTTCACCCTCCTTTGCCATCCATGAAGTGATCTTCTTACATTTTCGGCGATTATTGATTTCTTGAAATTTGAACCCATCTGCAATGGCTTTAAAGGTTATCGAGAAAGACAGAGAGAGGAGAGAAGAACAAAAAGGGGGATTGACTGTTGTCTCAAGCCACCTGTGTAACAATGACATAGAGTGGGAATGTGATGAAGCTACACCAGAACTGAGAGACAACCCTGCAGAAATAAATAGATACAACTACGTGAATGTTTTTTTATCAACAAGATATTTCATGCTCCTCAATAGAGTAGAGAAATAATTCCAGCTGGCAAAAGGTTGACATGAATTATATCACGTTAATGTACCCAAATGTCAAGCGGATCACTAGATAGCTGCGATTCTCCATAAAACAAGAAGGTTCTCTAATTTCCCACTGAAAAATAAATAAAATAAAAATTATTGGCATCATATAAAGGAATTACAACAAATGGTGTCAGGACTATCCCTTGAGCAAGGGACCAATGCTAATGCAGGTCCCGAACAGTACGCCATAAAATAGACTCTAACTTGGGAATGAGGGAACAGGCTTGTGACTCTCCCCTTATAGCACTGACAAGCAGAGGAGGGAGAACACAAAACTGGTACAATTATATATAGAAACCATAAACAGACTCTTTACACCAAGTGGTTCGGAAAGGTTTTGTTGAGTTGATTCGAGTAAACAGACCCTCTTCACACTTATCTATATGCAATGTGATTAATTCCATAACTAGTATTTGCATTTAATGCAATGTAACTTGCCCGAAGTCAATAAAAATTGCTTTGAACAGAAAAATGGCAATGTATTGTTTGCTGTATATGATTTGTGCCCCCTAATAGTTTTGATGGAATCACAGCTTTAAAGATAAGCTATTCACGTGTTTCCATGGCCTCATCAATTTTGGTGGCAAAGTAATTGAATGTATGAAGGCAAGAAGATGCTAAGCTGCGGCTAAAACAAGATGTAGAAATATAATATTTGATTATAAAAGAGGTTGGGTAACAACCAAACGAGTGCTTGGATGAGTGAACTGAATATGAACCTAATCTTTGGCCTTATTTGCACAAAGTGACTGCTGCAATCCAAACTTTATCATTGCACTAGGCAATTGCTACAACATATTTGTTTAAAAGAAAATAAAATCTTGTCAAGATCATAGAGCGTTTTAGTCTCTAAATTTAACTTAATCCAAACTATTATCATTACTATTTGTTCAACACCCTAGTTAAACCCTAAAAAAAACACCCTAGTTAAAATTTTACAACTGATAAATAATATTAGATGGAAATAAAAAATTTGAAAAATGTGTTAGAAGCTTATAAGGGCTAGGTCATGATTACATGTTTGACATAACATGTGCCCACAGTTAGAAGCTTTAAATGGAACTTAGCTATTACAGACCAGTTAGGGGGACTGAAACTAAAAACTGCAACTGTCGCATATACACCATTTTCTATTTATGAGTAAAGCAACGGATATTAAAAGCCTAACAAGAAGCTGACCATTTATATGAGATCTCAAAAGGCTAAAATTTGAACCGTAGGAAACTAAAGCAATGCTCATCATTACGCAAGACCTAATAAAGGTTCCAGCTTACTAACAAAGGTCTTAGATGTTTAGCCATTTGATTATATGCGAAGTGAGAACAGAGAACCATGTCCTCAGCAACTATGGAATATTGGACCTAACACGTCATATTAAGAAACTTTAACTTCATCGTCAAGCCTTAAAACTCAAGTGGTATCTCCCCCTCCACGTGGGAAAATACGATTCAAGTACCTGTAGGGGCAATAGTCGGTGTTTGTGAGTTTGGTATTCTACGTATGTACCAAAACAAAAATTGCTAAACTTTATTCCTATAAACATGTTTCTTTCCTCTTCTCCAATCAACAACAGAGGTTCATTGGCAGCTCTGAGTCATGTGTAACAACACATACCAAGCCGCCATTGTTAGTTATAATGGGCAAATAAATAATGAAATAGTAAACGGTTAGTAGATCAGATAGTCAGGAGGATCATCAGATTAGGCTTATTACTATCTTATTTCCAGAACAAATTCAGGGAGGTAGACTTCCCTACCCTGTACCTTCCCTAAATTCTATGACAATCAAGTGCACGTGTTTATTTATAATGGAAAGGCACCTCATGTTTCACTCAACAAAAAAGGCCATACAAAAATTAACTTAATAGAAAATTTGTAAGAAGTTCTTACCAGAGACCAAATATAAGTAGCCATCTCGAAGGCATTCTGCAAATCAATTCCCATCAGTAGCAGAACTCAGTGCATTAGATTCAAGAAGTTTTGTTTTTGTTCCTTTAATTTTTAATCTGGCATTTCAAGATAGGATTTCAAAAGAAAATATGGATGTGTTTGCTTCATTGACCTGAAATGATATAAATTGTATTAACCACAGCAGAAGCCTGGGTTTCCCAAACCAGAAGAGCTCATCCCTAAGGTTAAACTGATTAACTCCTGTCAATGAAGATTCATCCATGATTTCAACTGCCAGCTTCACCACTATGCGGTGCAGTTTAGTACCAATCAGCAGGATCAACTTTTACATACAATAAAAATATAAATGAAAAAGAAGAAAAGAAAAGAGAAGAAGGTAAGTAATGTGATTTTTGGGTATCACAAGACAGATGCAAGAAAACTGAAAGGTGAGTACTTACAATAGATGGAAGGAAGGAAAGCCAGAAGTAACTGTTAGTTCCTGATCAAGGGCAAACAGTTCATTCCCTAGAGATTAGCTTTGATTGTAAAGAAAGCATAAACAATTTTAAGAATATGAATTCAATATCATTATTGTTAAGCGTGTAATTGGACATCCCATGGAAACTGAACGCTTCTTTGTGGTTATGTATAATTTTCTTAACAAATCCATCACAAAGAATGAGGCATTACAGGGAAAGAGCCACCATCAAAGTGAAAAGATAGAAGCAGCAAATTTTAAAGAAAGCCTTAATTTTATTTTAAAACCTATCTATCGATTACAATGATGGCTACTCTTGTGATAGTGATGATGGATTTGTACCTCCAAATGCAATGATAGGACAAAGGAGCCATTCAACTTCCACTGACCTCCAATATCCACGCTGAGATGCAAATTGATTCTCATGGCACTGCATCTAAGTGCCCTAAAATTCACTTAGAATTACAATTCGAATTCACTGGGGTCTGCAGCTAAAACAGTGTTTGCTTGCAACAGCAGCGAAAACAGTGTTTGCTTACAACAGCAAAGTTAAATTCCATTTATCCATTCTAGGTTAACCTATGGAGGCTATGATGTGAACACTTAGGTGCAATGTTATCTGTGGTTGCTTGAAATAATATGCAAGTTCTTCTGTCATTAGCTTCTCGTGAAGGATACTCAGGCACATGAAATTACCATGAAAACCTAGGATAACAGACAATACTGCAAAAATCCAGAGAGGCACACTGCAAAGAACCACAGGAGTTGTCATAAGTTTTTGGAAGGAAAGAGTATCCAAGTTCATAACCATTTCATAATGTTTAATATTAAAGTCATCTAAGAACAAAAACATTAGTACAAGAAATGATTCCTCATACTTTTGTTCTGATAGTATGTTATGGCTCATTTTTTCTACAAACGACAGTGTCCAAAAAAAAAAAAAAATGAGAAAGAGAGAACATACCAAGAATAAATTTTGAGTCTATATAATCATATCAAAGAAGAAATGCAGGTTATTAAATTTTCAAATGAAGTAGACATTTATATCATTCTTTGATTTCTTTTAATTACTTGTTTATTTTATTGACCCTTAGGAGTTAACAAATAGGAGTTGGGTAAATTTCATACAAGAAAAATTCAAATGTTCGACAAGTATGCTAATGATATTATATGCTTATCTTGGAGATGGTGAAGATGGAGAAAATATATACAGTCTGAAAACTAGGCAGCAAAATGTAGTGCAAAATTTATGTTATTTAATGACAAATTGATAAAACTAAAAGAATGAAATTCTAAATAGACAAACTGTTATAAGGAATGACAGATTGAACAGGAACGTACCGAAATGTGAAGGTTTGAGAATCAAAGAATAATGGCCATGATGTAAAGAAATCTGGAGAAATAATAATGAATTGCAAAAAGGTCCTGCGACTAACATGGAAAAGAACAGAAAGGAAAAACAAACGAATATAATTTTTTTAAGAAAAGGTGGATAAGTCGATAAACCTATGAGGCTAAGTTCAATGCGTATGAAACTCTTTACAGTAGAAGTACAAAGGATGACAGGAGAAACATATACAACTTGCAAAAGATGAGGAAAAGGGGAGTAGAAATTATGACAATTTTTAACTGCAGTGAAAGTTGAGTCTTGTACTTGCACCCAAAATAATAATAATAAAATAGAAAATAAAAAGAAGAAGAAGAAAAAGAAGAAGAAGAAGAAGAAGAAAGTGGAGTCTTGATGAAGTTGTTAGAAACTAAAGAAAGGTGAAACTTTGGTTTTATAATCATGACAGGTCTAGCATAGATTTTATGCCATTTCCCAGCAATCTAACATGGCTCTCCTCTTCTTTTCTGGCTTGATAATGGCTATCTAAAGGATAAGACACTTGGTATGACAGAAACATACAAAATATGAAGGGATAACTTAGCATGCTCTCAAACACAAGACATGACACTCATATGCAACAGACACCAATAACTACACCTGTGAGGAAGAATGACATAATTCACATTGATGGCAATCTAAGAAGCAAGGATGCTTACTACGGAGGTGATATGTACATGTCATACACCTATAGGACACTGACACTTCAAGATAGTCCTAGACTGCTAGACACAACATCTTATGCATGTGCCATAGTTTCCATGTAAATTCCATTATTCAGCCGAAACATCTTACACACTTCCAACATGTTGTTTGTGTAACACACTCTAAAAGGAATCATGTTCGACAATTTTGGTACTAGATAAACACATGCTAAATTCTTCAAGAGATATCAGGTAGAGTATATTGAATCGCATCCTCCTCTCAACATTTTCTATGCAATATTACATCACCTAATAAATACAGTACAAGATTTACCTACCAGAAGAAAGGGGTGGGGGTGGGGGTGGGGGTGGGGGGATTTTCAAAGAGTTTAAAGTTTGCCAGAAATTCATAATGAGAGTAGGGCCAAAAACTCAAACATAAGGAATTACCCTTGTTGTCATAAGTAAAATGAATTGGAAGTCTCCCTAGAAAATTAAAATCAATTATAGTTTTTTTTTTTTTTTTTTTTTTTTTTTTTGATAAGTTAAAATCAATTACAATTTAAACGTGGGTGGAACTAGCTCCAAAAATGTTACAGAACATCAGTGTGTTAAATCAATTGATCTAATTATGCACATACTCCATAAACTGAGAGCATTTACATATCCATGCTCCATGATGCAAGTAAACCTCATATTTTGTCATCATAAACTTTTTTTTTTTTAAAAAAAAAGAGAGCAGTAAAATGCATTAAGCAGATTAATTTGAAATAAACTTCAACCTCAAAGTAAATTAAGCAGTGGTACCTAATGCCAACAATGTCACGAAATTCTTCTTCCATGCTTCGAAGCATATAATTATGAAAATCATATGATAATGGTAGTTGATGAGTCTGCAACCAAATACCAAGAAAAGAAAAAAGATTTGAGACAATAATTCTTTTGGAAGAATTTGCACTGTAATGTGAATTCTGATCTCATGATTTACACTTGCTCTTACTTTCCATAAAATGAAACGCCAAATGAAAAACACAGAGAAAATTTTCTTTCAACAGATTTCACAATTTTTAAGAGGATTGGATTGTTTATATCTGAACTTAAAGCTCTGTCCCAAATGCAGAGTCCATTCTTCGGCAACTACTGAAATTTTCTTTGCAATACAACCCATTGGGCCCCATCATCCCAGTTCTAGCCCTCTTAGCTGAATCTATGATTAGATTCAACAATTTGCATTGAGCTTTTTGAAGAATGTTATACATGCAACTCTATGAATAGCGTGAAGACTACTATACAACAACACAACACTTTAGTGAAACAGTTCTCATCATCCATGCAGCGAAATGTACATAGGAAAACTTCCATATGAATAAAATCTGAAAGAAACCTACAGTAATGAAGCCCAAACGCAAAGCCATGTAGTCAGCTCGGTTTATAGAACTCCAAAACTGGCGAGTGAAACAAAGCTGCACATTGAAAAAGCTTGAGTTTGAATCTTAAAATGAGCAAAAGCCACATCAATAGACCATTAAAAAATAATAATAATTGTAACACCAAAAGCAGAAACAAAAAATATAAGAAAATCAATTGGGAAGTGCATGCAGTGCAGAAGTAACCTAGATATAATTCAGCAAAGATGAAAAGCTTTGGACAAATTTAGACTTTTAGTTACAGTTAATGTGAAAACCTATACTTTTAGTTTTAGAAATAAAAGATCCAAAGGGTTACAAGATCCTAAATTGCAGTAATGGCTGATGTTACAATAAGTTTGCAGTGATGCAGATGCACAGTGCAGCAGACACTAAGTAAACATGCAGATATCAAAACCTTGAACTATTTTTTTCATAATACAAGTCCTCCAAAATGAACAAGTGCTTAACCCAGAACCCATTAAATTTTGATTTTATTTTAAGATTTTTAATGAATTTTGTTGAATAAATTAAAAAGAGTTCAATATTGGGCAATAAATATAATATTGATTTTTAAGTCACTATCACCAAGAAATGCTTACTAACAGTTATCATGATGGGTGCACTTAGGAATCAAAGTAATGAAAACCATCTCAAACATTACGAAAGTATAAAATAGAAAGGGTAGGTCTACAATAATCTAGATTAAGAAAGTCAAAAATAGATTCACAATACACAAAGTGACAAAACTGACCCGCATGAAAATCATTTAACATATTGTTTAGTTATATTAAAAAATATATATTATCATTGTCTTTTAATCACCTATGCCCTGAAAAACTCACCAAATTAACTTTTTTTTTTTTTTTTTTTTTTTTTTTTCCCTTTTTTGAGTAAATAAGATCATGCCTACAGCCCCAATCCCCCTCCCATTCTTTTATATTTGAAGCTGAAGTTTCTGTTTCTGCTTTCTTTCTGTTGGATTCCCGAGGCTTCAAATTCATTTGACTGACTGAAAACAACTAGATGAAATAAAATGCACAGAATGGTTCAGATAACTGTTGAGCTGAGTTCCACTGATTCGGAACTCTGAATGTACAAACAAAAACCGAGTTCAACTGAATTGATAAGGAAAATAATTGGACAGCATGAGCCAGTCAAAATACAAGATCTTAAGAATGTGACACTACCAGCCAAACAAGAACTCCGTGCTGACTCCATGGATGAGATGTGCGATGAAAAATGAAAGTAGAAAGTCGCCTCATTCTTAAACTGTTTGGGACTTCTTCTGCCGAACCTAGATTAAATTTCAAAATAATATGGCAAAGAATTTTTAATTAGAAAAATGCTTCCAACTCCTAGAAAGATAAAGGAAATTTGAAAGAAAAGACATCAACTTTGTCCATTAGAAAAAATTGAACCTTGTAATCCTTGAAGAGCGATTGACTTTGCTTGATTTTCCCATGTTCTCCAGCTATATATCTGCATGCACAAGGAGAACGACCTTAATACTTTCTTGACAAAGATTAAATTCCAAAGGTGCACAAAATATAGTAACTTTGAAGAAGATATTGACCTTGATCATGGCCAGGGCAATAGCAATAAAGCTATAAGCTACATGGGTAACGCCAAGAACAAACAAGAAACGATGAAGCTGCTCAAGACTTTCATATGAAGCAAAGGACTCATGTCCCTGGAAAGCAGATTATGGGTTAAAAAAAGATCCTGTTCATATGAAGTGACTAATAAATGACAATTAACTTCTTCTTTTGTTATAGGTAAGAATTTGTTCTGGTGGGACACGAACCATCAGCCTCCTCATTTGGAGGTGGAGGAATTTAAATATGTATTTCATCTATTGACAGTTGGCATGGATTTGGTGTATTCTACTACTCCATATAGTATAATTTACAACTTTCAGAGCCAATTCACAAAGTTGTTCTGTTCTCTTCACATATTCAGGTGCAGGTAGTTAAAACTAACTTGTAACACTACAATCCATGACATACTAGCAAAATTTTGGATTTAATAGCAAAATCTGTGTACAATCAGCCTCAACCTCATTAAATTGCACTCGAAATAGAAAAGCAGGATTGATGTTGATTGCTTTTGGCTTCAAGGGTAAAATGATATTGAAAGTGACCTTCATCATGACAAAATTGAAGAAACAACGTGAAGCTAAGACATCAAAAAGGATTTTGAGGCAACTACCTTAGGACAAAAATCTCTCTGCACATTGTTCACTTCCTCTCTGGCAACCGAATAATTAAAAAAATCAGAATTTGAAACAATAAAGTGATTTGTAGATCTCAGATCCCTGGTATCTATTTTCGGTGCACATGGATAGAATCGGCTGCTTAAGACTGATGATTCAATGCAAATTTTGGCCACAAAAATAATCCAATGACCCATCAGCAACGACAAGAGTCCAAAGAGCATTAACTCTGCTTGCAAGGAAACAGCCAAATAATGAGAACAAATTCCTAATGTGTCAATAAGATTAAGAAGAGAGTAAGCACATTCCCAGGGGAGAAAAAAAAAAAAAAATACAGTCTAACTTACCTTCCTTAATCTTCTCCAGAGCAGCAAGAAGAGATTTTCTCTTGGTCCTATCCAACCACTAAGAGAGAGATGAAACATATAAAACTTCAAATTAGAAGCAAAATAAATAAATAAATATGTATGTATACAGATGTTGCATAGAAAAGGGTTAATACCTTTCCAATCTGCTCCAAAAAAACATTGAAAGAAGAACCCAAGAGCGACCATTACAGATACAAAATGTAGAGAGTTTTTGAGTTGCTTTAAAATGAGATTATAAAATTATTTCACTACATTCTTTCCTTTTATAGATGCCATTTGTCACAAGATTTTTCAAGTTCTCCTTCGTCTTAGTCCTATCCAACCACATATAAAACTTGGAACTAAAAGCAAGAAAAATTAACAGGAAAATCAAGATTCGAGAGGAATAAACATCAAACCAGAAGCAAGAAAGTGAAACAGTTATACGTGTAAACACATAGATATGTACACAAACACTTCATGTGCATGATATGTGGAAAAGGGTTTATATTATAATACCTTCCCAAACTGCTTCAAAGAAGCATGAAAGAAGAACCCAAGAGAGACCATGACAGATATAACAGTTGCAACAGCCCAAGTTGGGGTTTCAGACAACGATCTTCCTTCCTCTACTCCCATCTCAATTCTTAATCTAAAACGCTATCACTTCAAGATGAACATGTAATCCAAAAATCCAATAGACCTCTTAGGCTTATTCTTCTTCCCCTTCAGGTGGTTGGGGGTTTCTGATGCAAGACTTAAGTGCCGGCCAAGGCCATTAATGGCAACAATCAGAGTAAAGTCTGTAACAGCAGACATTAAAATACACATTACTAACATGCATGGGGTGTGTGTAGCAAACTGGTTAGGCAGAAAGGTCCCACTATCACCACCCCTCTGTGTTTTTTATTACATGTTTTGTGAACTTTGTGAACGTGGTCGTGTCTTTTCCTTCCCTCCAAAGTTAGAGGCCAATTGGGCCCCTTCTTTTTGAGTCGGTATAGTGTTTTGTTTTTTAAAATTATGCTAGTAATACGAAGGATGAGACTTCACCTAAATCAAAGTTTGTCCCATTTGCAGATGCCTAGTAGTTCTGGGGTGTTTACCCAAATTTGACCCACATTCCTACACATATTATTTTTTATTTTTTTGGTCAACAACAATGAAAGAGTGACATTTTTGTTTTATTTTAATGAAATTTCCTGTCATCTTGAAACACCCATATGTTACATAACTATCAAATGAGATGTTATAAGAATTAGATAAATGAAAGAGTGACATATTAGTTTTATTTTAGTGAAATTCCCTCTCATCTTGAAACACCCATATGTTACATAGCTATCAAATGAGATATTATAAGAATTGAATTTTCAATTTACCAATGTTAGTATGCAATGTAAGGAAAGTCCAAAATCTTGGGCAACACTTTTTCATAGTTTCCTCATCTAAGGGTGAAGAAAACGCAAGGTGATGACGTGACATACATCAAGCAATGGTAACATGGTTGGTGCTTTGGAGAGAAATTCACTATAAATATCCAACCATGGCCGTAAGCAAGGGGATCCCGAAACCAACATTATGCTTCTCTTTATTATCTCCTTTAGGCCACTGGCCATTTTTTTGTTCTCCTAGCAATAATTCAGTGTAGTTTTATAACTCATCTTCTATTTAGTTCATCAACTTTCATGTAAACTTTTCATAGTCGTTGTCTTGCTCTTTAGTATTAGTTAATTATAAATGTTTCCACTTTTATTTCATATACTCTAGTGTCTGATACATTCTAGCTTGTACTTAGTATTTTCATTAGCTAATAATGAAATATCACTTTGTTTTAACAAGAAGATGTATTCATTCAATTTGCCACCATTATTTTCTCCTTCATTTTACTCTCCACATCATCTTCATCAACCATTTAAGAAAAATTTAAGTCCCTGTTATCAAGGCAATGCTAACCCAGTAGGAGGTGTTTTTCCCGCCTTCTCACGGTTGCATAATCAATATTCGGGACCAATCCAACATGCGGAATATGGTTTGGCTCATACCCTGAGTTTGGGTCAAGGACTCTGGCACGCCCGCACATCTCAAGAGTCGAAAATTGTGCAAACAGAGGTTTACAGCCAAATTTTGGAGTTTGATTCTCTACATTTACTAATATAATTTCTAACACTTCTTGTCTATTAAAAATTAAAAAAAAAATTCCATTCCATTTTGTTTGGTCACAAATTCAAAATTGAACCTAAGAGGTTTGGAAACATAGATATCCATAGATATAACACAGATAAGTCAATAAGTTAACATGGAAATAAACACTGATTTGATGTATAAATATAAAAATTTATTTATATATATTTATTGAATAAAAATGTTATAAATTTTTGTTTATTTTAAATTTCTATATTAAAAGTTCCTCATGATTTAAAAGATAAAATTATATCATTATTAAATTGATTTTATGTCATATATATTATTACTCCACTACTTTGTCATTATAAAGTTTTTGTTTTCAAATAAACAAGTATAATTTTATGCTTCACTTTTGATTTATATGTGCTCATATTATTTTTAAGATTATCAAATATGATTATTCTGCTCGTGGTTGTGTATGTAAGTCTTGCGTTAGAAAATGTCGACCAAGTGTGCAGAAACTATCTGCAAATGAAGTGTTAATATATTATCCGTGTCCGAAATGTCTATAATTTTAGGTAGGAATTCACGAGTTTAAAATCGAAAATAGGGCATTCGTGTAAGGACAATTGGCATACGAGCAAAGGAAAATATTTAGGCAGACTAGACAGAAATACTATTGGCCAAGTGGTTTGTTGCCATTTCATACCAGCCAGCATAATTTTATAATGCTATAGTCAAATTTGATAATTAATTTTGTCTAAATAAAATAATATAATACTATCATTTTTGACATTATTTGGTTGGACACGGACAAGTGTGATAGTCGAAAATTATCTAATATTATTGTATTATGTTATTAACACGACGAAGTCAAGTCAAATCCCACCAACATGAGTTTAATCCGAGTTTATAAAAGAAAAAATAGATAAATAAATGCATTCGATGAATTTGTTGGGTTGAGAGTTTTATGCTTGTATAGAGTTGAGCTTCAATATTCCACTTAAATTGCACCAAAAATAAATGATGTGAGATATATGGGCACGATTCTCGCAGTCCATTTTCTTTCACAGTTGGTGAATTAAAAATTTGAGCGTTTTAACATTTTATTTCAAAAATCGCTCACCATATTTTTCCAAAAGGGGTACTATCGGAAAAAATAATAATAAAACGAATCACCAGATTTTCCATCAGAGGTTCGTGTTGGAACAAATTAATAAAATTGCAACATTCCTCTTGGTCTGACCAGAACATCGACATAAAAAATTACTAATAATAGGTGATGCGCATAGACCCATTCACTTTCTTAACTTTCTTTATATTGAAAATATTATTTTATGGTCGTCCACAATGTCACGGACCAATTATGTATGGGAATTTTTTTTTTTTCACAATTATGTATTTAATTACGAACAAATATTTAGGCTGAGCACAATGGTTAGGAATGGTAAAAATTCTCAAACCAACGGGAATTCATCCCATCTCGTCTCATTTAGGATGGATTTGGAATCTTTTTATGTAAATGAGGATGGGGATAGGATAGTTTTTGAAAATCCGGCGGTGCGGGGATAGGGTAAATCCATCCTGCCCCGTCCGTTTAGGGTATACATTTACTAAAATACCCTTATATATTATGATATATTACTAAATTAGATTAAGTGTATATAAACACAATTCTAAGTCTCCGACACACACTTAAGAAAATTTATAACTCCGTTATCCTAAATCTTAGAATTTAAGAATAAAAAAATTATGTGTTAAAAAAAATTATAGCGCGTGTTAAATCGGGATGGGGACGTAGCGGGGTGGGGAAGGGGGGCGGAATGAGATGGGAGTGAAATTTTAACCAGAGATGAGGGCGGGTACGAGAGAAAAAACAATTATTGAAGATGAGGAATGAGATCCCATCCCTTGACTATGGTGAACCTTTTGAAGCTGAATTGCTAATGGGTAAGTATTAACATCAAAGGAAACGACGGTACTGGCCATTAGTGGGCTCGCCCATTTTGCTGGTTGTATCGATGGCGACGGGTAGCAGCTTTATTGTTAGCCAATGTGGCCCAAAGCAGCCCCTTTGCTTTTGTTTCCTTTTGGTAAACAAAAAATCAAGGCTCTTTTGTAATGAAAAACTCAACTGATTTATGTTATAAAAAAAAAACTAGCGGCTATTTCCTTTCCTTTTCTTTTCGTTTTCTCTCTCTTCTTTTTTTTTTTATGTAATTTATTTTCATTATAAAAAATATGTATGATTTTGTTTCTTTTATTTTTATTTTTGAAAAAATATGTAAATTTTTTTTTCTTTGCTTTTGATTTTTTTTTCTTTTAAATTTGCCAACAAATATATGAGAAACAAAAAAATTTTAAATAATATTTTATTCATCACAAACGATATGAAAAAAATATATTTTACTCGATATTGTCATTAAACTTTTTCATTATCAAATTTATTTCACAAATATTCTATAAGATCTCTCCTAAGAATCCTATTATTTTATGCATTGCAAATCCTGTTTAGGCGAGTGGATATGTGTGACGCAAAAAATGATCGGTCTCTATTATAGTGTAAAAGACAAATCAGCTCATCCGTTAGAGGCAAGAGTGGATCTAGGTGTATGTTTCGCTCACCACAAATTTTTTATTTTTTATTTTTACTATAGGTAATTTTAGCCCAACAAAAAAATAAAATAAAATAATTACTAGTATTAGCCCACCCAAAAAAATATTAGCATACCCCATTAACAATTCTTAAATCCGCCCTTAGTTGGAGATATCTATTCCAAAATAAATCGAAAGCTCTAACAAAAGCATTGAAAGTATAAATTATTCAACAACAAAATGCAATATTGAATAAACTAAATAAAGGGGGTGGTCATATATGATTTGTTTTTATTTGTGAAAAAAAAAAATTGATTTATTTTTCTTTTCTTTTTTCTCTCTTCTTTTTTTTATGTAATTTATTTTCATTATAAAAAATATGTATGATTTTGTTTCTTTTATTTTTATTTCTGAAAAAATATGTAAAATTTTTGTTTCTTTGCTTTTAATTTTTTTTTTCTTTTAACTTTGTCAACAGATACATGAGAAACAAAAATTTTAAAAATAATATTTTATTCATCACAAACAATATAAAAAAAATACATTTTACTCAATATTATCATTAAACTTCTTCATTATCAAATTTATTTCACAAATGTTCCATAAGATCTCTCCTAAGATCCTTATTATTTTATGCATTGCGAATCTTGTTAAGGCGAGTGGAGAGGTGTGCTGCAAAAAAATGATCGGTCTCTATTGTAGTGTGAAAGACAGGTCGGCTCATCCGTCAAAGGCAAGAGCGGATCTAGGTGTATATTTCGCCCACCCCAATTTTATTTATTTATTTATTACTATAGGCAATTTTAGCCTAGCAAAAATAAATAAATAAATAAAATTTATTACTAGTATTAATTAGCCCACCCAAAAAAAAAATATTAGCATACCCCAGTAACAAAATAAAGGGGGTGGTCATATATGTGAAAAAAAAATATGCAATGTATTTTTTATTTTATTTATTTAATTGTGACAAAATATTTAATGTCTTTATATTTATGCTCAAACCACATAGGAGTTGATATAAGACTTTTTGTAACATTCTACTCCACTGAACTCGCAACGCCATTGCAGTCGGGCAGAATGGCCATTCTGCCTACCCGAGTTGCTCATTTCAATCCAAACCCCTTTGAGGGGGATTTGACGTAACACTGAATTAAAAAATGAGTCTGGCTTTGATACTAACTGTAACAAGTCGAATATTTTGCGATCCAATCTAAAAGCTTAAATTGTTAGATGGAGCTAACACCCAACCTATATATATCCATTCATTTATTCATCCGGATTCGTTGTGGGATAAGTCTATCTTATAACATCTAGCCTGTATAGCTATTATTATACCGGATGCCCTCACGTGCAATGGGTTACAAGATATAAATGTAATAATGGGCAAACTACATTTAACTCTCCTTAACTTTCACTGTTTTATAATAAAATCCCTATTTTACGATTATTATTATTTACCAAAAAATCTCCTTCAACTAACCAAAGGGGGTTATTTTTTGAATGGTTACAAAAAATACCCCCATTAACCAAGTAAATGGAGGTTCTATGCAATTTGCCTAATTGAGTGAATTTAACTAAAAGTTTTATTTATTTTTTCTTTATCAAATAATAATATTTATATATTTTCGGTTAAATATATCACCATACTTTTAATTAAAAAAAATATATAAAAAAATTTAAAAATAAAATATATAGTTATGAGTGCAATTACATATAAGTTCAAATCTTATATGTTTACTCATATTCTATATTATATATACCATTATTATATTATATTTTTAATTTTATATGATGTTTACGCACAAGTATATATATAAGTATAAGAGATGGACATTTGATCAAATAATTAGATCAAAAAAAATAAATTTTAATTATAAAAAGTAATTGAATGACATAAAATAGTAAGCTTTTTTTTATTTTTTTAAATATAAAAAGAGGAAAAATTGATATTATATAATTTAACTATGCTAGTCATGTGTTCAAGAAATAACATGCAACAATGTAGTTGCACCCGTAACTATTCTTCTTTTTAATTTTATTCATTTTGATGTTTTTTACTTAATTAAAAGTAACGCGATGCTTGAATATTATTATTTAAGAAAAAAAAAAATAAAAGTTTCTTTTAACTAAATTCACACAAGTGCGCATATTGCACAAAAGACTTGGATATTGGGGGTATTTTTGGCAAAAATTCAAAAACAATCCCACCCTGCTGGTTGAGGGGTTTTTTGTGATTAAAAAAAATTATATATAGAGATGTTTTTGTTATTTATTTATTTTTATTAGGGTTCAGCTTAACAAGACGGAGCAAATTTCTACTGTTGTTCATTTCAGGTGAACATCTATATGTCGTCTTCTTTTTTTACATTCGGTGGGTAATCTTTCTGGCGTCATTGGATCTTAAATTCTCAAAAAGAAATAAAAAAATTCAAACCATATGGTTTCTTTCTACTTCAGTGGAATTTTCTCGGCAACCAAACGGAGCATTTAAGGGCTATTTTAGTTTTCCTAATCTTTAGCTTACTCAATTGATGTTTTGATTGGTTACTGGTACCTTTTGAACAGATGGATGTTGAAGCCGCTTCGAATTTGTCTCTGCCTGATGCGTTTCTTGATTTTCTCAGCGAGAATGGACTCGACCCTTCAATTTATACTACAAGTGATTCAACCCCTCGGTATATAAGGTACTTGGAGTTTTTAACGACGAATGTCAATATATAATAGCTTTTTTAAACATATTTTATTTATCATCACTTCGTCTCCTTCTAAATTAGGAACTCTTTTAACACTACATTTATTGTTCTAACTACGTACTGGTCCAATTTAAATTTCATTTTGTTTCTTGGAAAAGTTGGTGTGATTCAAAAACAAAATGTGAAAAAATATTTTTATGTGTTGTTTTGTGCTCATGCATGCTTTTGCATTTGGGTTCTGTGCTGATGGATGATATGTATACTTGAAAGGTTGAAACCTGGCTGTGAAGCTTATCTTGAAGAGATCGAAGCTGAGATCAAATGTAAGATTGAGAAAGTGGCTTGGCTACCCAATTTCTATTCTCTTCCACCTGATATTCAGATTGCTAAGTCTAAGGCATATCAAGAAGGAAAGGTGAGCATTGGAGTACGTCTGTTTGTAGAAATTTTATGTCTTGCAAATCCTAATAAAAATTTTATAATATGCTTACTTTTACAGAAATATGGACTAAATTTAGACTATCCAAACTCCAAAGGTCGTGGACGACAAAGTCTATTATTTATTTGCTTCGTCTGCTAAATTGCTAATAGATGTTGCTTTTTATTGCTCACAACTTTTTTTATTTCTCTAAGCTATGAATTATGTTTTTATTTCCTTCTCATCGTAGTTGTTTGCCAATTCTTAATGTCCTGACATTGATTTGATTCAAAATGTAAATTCTACCATTGAAATTCTCCCTTTCAGTAGAAGGATGTAGAATAGTTTGCTCTATGCTTACCTCACAGCACCACATTTTATTTTCTGTTATTTCAGATGGTAATTTGTTTTCCAATTATACTAACTTTTCAATATGAAAAAAGAGAGTAAAATTTCCCATTCACTTTGGTCTGGTGTCCAGATGTATGGGATTGATGCGGCATCTGGAGCTGCTGTTTTAGCTTTGAATATCTCATCGGGTGATCATATCCTTGATCTATGTGCTGCTCCTGGTAAGTGTGTTTTCCCTGCTGGCCCAATTGAACTACTGAATTAAACATAGATATACATTACTCATTAGTTCATTGGAATGCAACTTAATTTGGTACCATCATCATTTTGAGTTTTAACATCTGGACCTATCAAAACTGAAAAAAGAGAAACAAAAAAGTAAAAATAAATATCACCCACACACCTCCAATTATTCTTTATTATCTTTATCATTTTAAGCGAAGACTAAAGGTTCCACTAAGGCACTAACATTTCATATCAACGGAAAACCTAAATGTTTCGGTTAAGTTACTGAGTATGCCTTGCATGCTAAAAAGGAACAATGGACTTTCTTGAAGAATTGGGTTCAATGACATCAGTTCAGCTGTCAGCCTATTTTGCGTTCTACAGAGGCTAGGTGGTGTTGTAGTACCCTGTACCTTTGTCCTGCAGGGCCTTTGGTGAATTTTTCTATCTATCTATCTATGATCTATCTCAAACATAGACTCCTAAACCTGGAAATAGTTTATTGTGATGAGTTACAGTTGGAATCCTATTAGGGCTTCATTGGTCATTAAGCAGTATCAGTCTGTAGGATAATTTGCTTCTTAGTTACAAGCATTTTTAATAACACTAGAAGAAAAGGCATTTTTTATTGATCAAACTAATTAGCATCATATTGTGATGGCATATGATATTTCTTTTTCAATGTTGTGGGAGTTTATCAATTGCAGAAGTGTCTGATTGAAATTTCACATGCGGCGGCATGGCCGTCATTTTTATGATTTTCATTCAGTATCATTTCTCATTTCTCATTTGATTATATTCAGGTGCTAAACTCTGCATGATATTGGACCTTCTTGGTTGTTCGGGTTCTGTGACTGGTGTTGATGTTGCAAGACATCGCTTGGCAGCTTGCAGAACCATGTTGCAGAAATATGCACTTGGTGATCATTGTCGTCTCTTTGTTGCTGATGGGACAACATTTTCCCTACTACCTGTCAGGGTTCATTCAGATTCTAAAACATGTAATATATCTGGAAAGAAGTAATGATACAATTACTTAAAGCTTATAGTGTGATTAACTTTGTTGGCTTGGTTAGTTGTACTCACCTCCCTTTTTGAAGTTTTATCATTCTTTCTAGTATTAAACAGGTGAATCTGTTTTGGAAGAAAAGGCGGATATATACAAAGAATGGACGTCTAGGAGATCATACAAAGAAAGGAAAAGGGTGGCTAAAGCAAGGGAAAGTGCTGGTTCTCAGTTAGTTTCAAGGCTTCAAGATCCAGAGCTTATATTTTACGGACGGCGTTCTGGAGTGGTTGGCCTCAATAAAAGTGATTTATATCAAACATTGTGCGGCAATGAGGTTTTGCACTGTGGTTATGACAAGGTACACTTTTTTTTTTACTCTTTCTTTATTTTTTCCGTATTATTATTATTTTTTTACAAAACAACTAAATTCTGCTTGCTTGCTTTCTCTAATTTCACTTCATTAAATTCATTATTGGCATGTAGAAACCAGCTATTAGATTGATTGATATATCCTGCCACTTCCAAAAGGGAGCTGCAGGGTTCAAGTCTCAATTGGGGTGCAGGTGTTTGTGTTGTATTAATGATTAAAAAATATGAAAAATTAAAAAATGCTGTATGTGTCTAGCTTGTTGTTTATCTCTATTTCACAAAGATTTTGCTTAGTTTTGCTTCTTCACTCTGTTGGAAAGCTAATGACTGGTTGGAACTTAAAAATCAGGTCCTTGTTGATGCAGAGTGCACGCATGATGGTTCTATTAGACACATACAAAAATTTGAACATTGGGGCTGGAAAACTCTTCAACGTCGCGTATTGAATGCGGAGAGAACTGATGACTTGACTGTCCTTCAAGTAACTCCCTGATTGGTCCATCTTTATTTACATTTCAGTTATGTTTTGAGATTTCATCTAATCGAAGCAACAGCTTCAGGTGCTTGTGCTCTTGTAGGTTTTTTATATGTGTTTTTTTAAATGGCGACTACTATGGATAATTACTTTAAATTTAAAGCAACTCACTTAAGTATCAAAGAACGAAGAAGGTTATGCAAAGTTGGACATAGTGATGCAACCACTATTGATCCGTACAGGGGTCCCGTCAGGCAACCTAAGTAATACTTGGGGACTAACCTCATAGTTAAAGTCATTTTTTTGGTCTTTTTGGATACAATAGGAACTTAGGGTTATTTTTGTTTTTCCCCCCTTTATATATAAATTGGAGTGTATGCTTCCAAAAATCTAGTACATCATTAAATTTTCGATCAAGTATATGACTATATAGAACAATTCGGGGACAAGATGTATGTGGCGGACCCGGACCCCAAATGGTAAGGACTAAAACTTATTGAGTTGAGTATCCATACACTTAACTTGGTCGACAGGCCATTCTTAAACATTTTTAGCAATTAGTTTAAGTTTAATTTTTTTGTTGTTCAAAACTTTATTTTGGAAACTATATTTTGATATGGACAGGTGAAGTTTCTTGGAAACTGAAGCCTTGTGTGGCTGACTGACTGCTGATTACTTCAAGGATTCTCTTTTAACAATATGTTTTCCATTACCTTGCAGTTGCAACTTCTAATCAATGGCTTTAGATTGCTAAAAGTTGGGGGATCCCTTGTCTACAGCACGTGCAGGTACCTTTTATCATTTCCTGAAATTTCCAGTATCGTTCTTCGGTTTTTCCCCGGGTTAAGATTACTTACATTCCTGTGCTTTCTCTTTGCTCTTTTACCTTCTGGTAATAGTTTGACAATTGCTCAGAATGAAGATGTCGTGGAGCAGTTTCTTTTACAAAATGCTTCTGCAGGTGAAGTTCCTTTTGCTTTTAAATCTAGCAGTTATATATTTGTTGTGTTTCTTTTTGTTATGTTCGGAATATTCTGTAATTTTAGCCAGGAATTCGTGTTGGAATTTTTTTGAGCAAATATCCTGGTGTCTTTTCTGGGAACCATAATGTCCTTATACCAACGGCTAGAGGTTTTGCTTGTTTGCATGAAGGGAAGTTGGATTTATGGAACTGAAGGGAACAAAGCATGTTGACACCACTAAAAGATCCTAAATGCTTTGTTATTTTCTTGATAATTAGGTATCCTTCAAACTACTGGCATGTGCATTAGGAATTCTGTTGACTGTACTTAATAAATAGGAAATGAATTAAAAGGTGAAAAACTCATCCTGCGTATAACTTCTTACAACTGAATAATGTATCATATGCTCATCATGGGAATAGGAATTTGACAATCAACCCAACCCGCTTAGGATGACCGAAGAGCCAGAGGATCTTGTGGAATCCCCTCCAAGATCCCCGGTAAACTTGGCTTTAAAGTTCATATGGCAGTCAGTTTTTTGTTCTTTTCCAATCTTTTTCTTTTGCCTCTTCTGAATCTTGAAGAGGAAAATGGGTTGGAAGCTTTCATCAGTCCTTAAAATAGGAAATATTTGGTGGTCAGTTTCTGTGATTAGTATGCAATTTACCCCATTGGTTGTACAATCTTGAAAAATTCAGCCCAGAAAAAATTGGAATTCTCTTGGCAACCCATTTTAGTTATTACTAAAGCTAAAAATATAGAACTATATAGATGGAGCCAATTGACAATGAAAAAGGAAGTGGCAACTGTTTCAGCATCAGGTTTTCACAGAGCCCTGCTAAGCAGCAAATAACTTCTATAACATGTTATTCAACTTTTCAAGAGCTAGTGATCGGAACTGTACCAAACGAGGTTAAAAGGAAATGATCTAAAGGGGAGACTTTCTAGTTTCTATTGATTGAATGCAAAAGGGTTTGCAAATTTATGAACCACTTAGTTCATGTTTATATGTGGAGGATGAGGATACAAGTGGGGTTAAAAAATGACAAGAAGGGAGAGCATTGTTTAAATTCCTCAATGTTCAGGTCAAATCTGAAAACTAATTATCATGCATTAATACAAGAAATCCACTATTAAGGATTAAGATACAGAATTCTTTGTATCAATGATCTACGAAATGTATAATTATGTTTTCTTTTCTTTTCTTTTCTTCTTCTTTTTTTTTCTTTTTCTTTTTTCTTCTTCTTTTTTTTTTTTTTTTTTCACTCCAATAGTAATAGGGTATAATGATTTGTCAGAGTCCACCAAACCCATTCAGTTGTGAATGGGAAAAGATAACCAAATATTACACGATCTTGGTTTAATTTAAGTGGTTTGGAAAGCTCATCCTGGATCCTTGAACAAGGTGGGCTGGCTCAGACCAGTAGTCCAGAAATATCTCATCGGGACTAGAAATCAATCTTAGATCCTTTGAAACACACCCTTGAGCTCAAGTTGTTTCAATAAATGTTATTCATTCTTACATATTTTCAGTTACAAAAAATGGAGCCTTTGTTATCATCTCTTGCTTTCTTGTCTTACAGTGCAGTATTCTTTATTTGATTCTGCAGAGTTGTTGGAAATAGATGCTGCAAAAAATTGGCCTTGTAAGAGTGGACAAATACCAAAGACCCTGCGCTTTGATCCTGTGACATCCCGAACTAGTGGACTTTTTGTTGCAAAGTTCACAAAATTAGCCATTTAATCCAGGTTGGTTCTTGTACATTCATTCATGATTTATTTATTATTTATTTATTTATTTATTTACCCTTGATCACATGCTGCTGCATATTTAGAACCAACAGCGGTATATGCTGACATTTCAAAGTGTAAGAATGTGTCCGTTTGCATGTATGTGTTTTGACATGCCAGTTTGCTTGCTAGTTGGTCTGTCTGATGTGGGCATCAAAGGTTATTTTGTTCCTTTGGTACTTGTCAAAAAAAGGAAGCATGAACATAGTCAACATGGTTCACAGATCCACAAAATTTTTCTCTTCGTCTCTCTTCAAATATTAAAATAGGAAAAATAGAATCCTTCTTATAATGCTGAAACGTCCCTGATTGAGTTCTTCACTCATTTGAAAAGGCTAATTATTGATTTTCTTCACTCAGTTGAAAATGTTTAGTTATCTTAAATCTGGAAAAGAGAAGGATGGTTATCAGTAGCTACTTTTTTACAAAACCTATTGTGTATATAACAGTTAATTCTATATACTGTATTGTTAACTACTAGTTGAATTTGCAATTGTCACAGGTTATTTTTGGTGGTCTCTGCTTCAGTTCTCAATGATGTTTTTCTGTTTTATCATGGAAAATGCCCCTCAAGGCATTTGTTCTTAAAGATGATAAAGAGCTGATTAGACATTTTCATCTGGTAACAATGGAGTCCGTTCCAAGGCCCCAGGCAACGGTGGAGTCCGTTCCAAGGCCCCAGGAAACGGGTTTGATTATCATAGGAGCCGATAGATATGGCATTTGTTATCACCCAGCTCCACTGTACAATCATTTTGTTTCAATTGCAAAAGGGTAAGATAGAGGAAGTACAAAATTCTAGTTTTGATATTCTTCAATCATGAGTCATGACACTCTTTTAAGTGTAGCTTTCTATAGTGTGTGCATGCAAACACATTTGAGATGAATGTTTGAGGGTGGGATTACTGGATAAAGAAATTGAATGTCCATTGTTGTGTTGTTGTGAATGCCCATTGTTTAGTTCTCTATATTAAGAGTTGCACTTAATGTCAGTTCATTTGCAGACTGAAAATGAGAGTTGCACTTAGGCTCTGTTTGTTTCGACATCCGTAAAAATACGGAACCAGCGGCAGTTCATTTGGAGACATTAAAAAAAAATACTCTAGAAAATAAAAAAAATAATATTTTATCTAAAAAAGAATTTTTTTTTTGCGTGAGCGGTTCATTTGCAGACATTAAAAAAAAATACTCTATAAAATAAAAAAATAATATTTTATCTAAAAAAAAAAATTTATTTGCGTGAGCGGTTCATTTGCAGACACTAAAAAAAAAGAGAGCAACCTATCAGGACAACTTTTGTCCTCCACCCTATGAAAACTTGACACCTGTCCAAAATATAAAAAATGAATCATACTGAATCAAATTGGGTTATCCGGATCCACCCATCAAACAAACCCATTTTCTCTCTTCAGTTCTTCCTCTCTTCTTCTCTCCAAGCATCGCCGCAAGCCCACACCATCATCCGAAGCCGAGCCCTCCACCGGCAAGCTCACCGCCGACCAGCTCCATCACGGCCAAACCCTCGATCTCAAAACCCTATGCCGGATCTCTCTCGTCTCCACCTCGATTTGCCGCCGCAAAACTCTCAGTTCCGGAGCCTTTGTTGCCGATGGATATATATTGACTGCCGTTGAAGGAACCACCAGAAAACCCCATAGTCTCCGGGATCCGGCTCCACCTTGGCCGGATTCGAGGGATTCGGAGCTTCTATGATTCAGCCAGCTAACTAACGGGTAACCAATTTGGTATTTTTTTTTGGACAGGTGTCAAATTTTTATAGGGCCACATCATAGTGGAGGACAAAACTTGTCCTGACAGGGCAGGATTCCAGCATTGCTCAAAAAAAAAAAATACTCTATAAAATAAAAAAAATAATATTTTATCTAAAAAAGAAAATTTATTTGCGTGAGCCTTAATGATGCATTGTATTCTAGGTTCATGACGTGTAAAGTTTCAAACCCATTGTCTGGAAAACAAAAATAAAAAAATAAAAAAAAGTGAGTCTTCAATTAATATATAAAAACCCATGAACAAACGAAGAAGATGACTACAATTTTTATATGCTACGAGCCAACATATCATAGAATTCTTCTATGGATCTTTGCCTCTGATGCCTCTGCTCATCATAGAAATGTTTGATGTATAACTCTGCTCTTTGATCCACTTCCTTGGAATGCTTAATCAATCTATTTTCTTTCCCATCCACCTTTTGTGCTAGTGCCAATTCGGAATCGGGGTATTGTGTACCCGTCTCACCCGCATTTTCATCCATCTCATCCTCCTCTTCCTCAGTCTCAGTGGTACAGCTTAACTCTGCATATGGCTTGTCGTGCAACATAACAGGCTCTTCTGCATATGGCTCGTCGTGCAACATAACAGGCTCTTTGGGGAGGCTGTCCCGGCTTCTGGTTGCTGGTTCCAATTGAAGCTGCTTGCATAGGGTGCAGCGGAAGCTGCAAGGACAGTCATATAAGCTTGTTATAGAGGAGTAAGAAGGGATTGACAAGCGGTTTTCACGATCAGCAGAGAAGCTCAAGGAGGATAGCAAACCGGCAATGCGTTGAGAGGTTTTCGTGAAGCTCTTCCACGCCTTGTTGAGCTTCTTTACTCGACGAGAGGAAGGCATTCTCGAGTGTTTTGAGTCTCTCTCTTGAAGAAAAGTGCAGTGCAAAACTCTTTCTTGAGGTCTGTCTCTTCTGGTTATATAAAGCATATATGGTTTCACCTTAAGAAGGAAAATGGTCTCATTTTTGGCCGCCAATACATATATTTCTTTGTGATCTTGTAGGAAAATCTTGGACACATTGAATGATTTTTTAAATTGCCTTTTTTAGAACCTGAATATTCAATAATATTTCTTAGGTAAAGATCTTTAAAGTTACAAAATAAACAAAGTAATTTCTTCAACATAGCATTGTTTTTCCCGGAAGGTATGTGGTATTCATTATGGAAAAAACAATAATTTTGTCACCAAGTTGTATCTCATACATTTTTATTACTATGTAAGTTCAAATTCTATATCTGTAAAAGAGATTCTGTATTTGTAAGTTAATTTCAAGGACTATATGTAGTAAATTATGGAAGTAAATAAGAGGAAATTTCAAGGACCATATGTAGTAATTTTAACATAGCACCGTCTCTTGATTCTCATCTTCAACTTTCTTTTTGCACTCAATATTAATGACCTAACTGAAATATTCCGCAAAATAATTTACATATATATGTATATTGGGTGAAAATGGAATTTGGCTATAGATTAAATTGAATCATCAATTAAAATTGGCAAATAGGTTACACTCATTTGTATTAAAATGTGACCGACTATACATAGGCATTCTCAAATTTAATCATCTAAAAATGGCGACTAGGTTACACTCAATTCATATTGTGACTGTACAGTAAAATCAAGTGAAGTTGAAATATGGTTCACTCCTTTAAATTTAATTTTTTAAATAAGACTCCCTTGCATGTTTGATATTGCTGTAACTTCTGATAAACATTTTTTTTACACAAACAGTTAAACAAAAATGTTGTCAATAAAAGATTAAATAATGTTTAGTGACACGTATGTAGGTAAAAGATTAAACAATGTTTAGTGACACATTGCTCTGTCCTATTAAATTATAATTTTATCATTATACTTTACCTTTATTAGTATATCTTAACCAAATCTTATAATTTAGTTTATTTCAATCATTAAATATCTTTTTGTATTATCTTTATTTGAGAATTTCTATATATTATTTTGATGTTCTTATAATATAATACGGAGTATTAGACTAGTTATACTTGCACCAATTTGTTGCAACAGTGAATTACTTAATCGAAATTTTTTGATTAGTTATTTATGCTCAATATAAGTAAGTAGAGAACCCCATTACCTTATTTGTTTTATAGATGTACCAATTAAAATAAATAACTCTGGCAATTCAATGCAACAAATCGGTGCAAGAATCTGTTTGTGTCCGCATAAGAGATTATGAATTATTACATAGTTGAAAAAATGTTTCATTTTTTACTTTCTTAGATTTGTAATACAATTATTTTTAAGAGGGTAGTTTTTAATGCCTTTTGTTACAGGGGAAAGGAATGAATTTTTAAATATATCTTTATATGATGGGTCCACATATAAATATATTTAAAAAATAATACATTAATTTTCAAATATATTTATATGATGGGTCTACATATAGAAACATTTAAAAAATAGTATATTAAATTTTGAATTGAAATAATTATTTTAAAACAACAAAAAATAAAAATAAAATAGACACATTTTATAAGAGCGGAGGGAATAAAAAACCTTTCTCCCTCACCTCGCACCACCCTAAGTTGTTTAATAAACGAGTTTGAACAGAAATGCGAATAACTATGCTATACATGAATTAAGATTGGAATGGTGTTGGCATCCTCCCCCGTTGTGGGGACAATTCATGTCGTCCCTATTTGTCTCTTTCCTAACATAAATGACAATTATGGAATATACTTTTAGCATATGAGTTATGGATAATTTTGTCATTTTACCTTTGGAGAGTAGAGAGGATGGTGCGAAAATTCAGCCAAAAGATTTGTTAGATAAAAATCTCTACCATTAATAAATAATAACTTCTATTTTTATTTTTATTTATTTATTTTTTTACCAAACTTTAACTTTTATTAATTAAACATAGTGTTGGTTTGGGATTGCTATTGGAATAATAAAAAAAGTTTTTATATAGATTTGTTGGTTAGTAAAAAACATAGTAGGTGTTTGGTGATATATTATAATACGTATTTTTTATAATTAAATTATTTTTTAATTTATTTAGTAACAATTTTTTTAAACACTTCTATTATTAATTTTACAATAATTTTATTTTTGTGAACTAATAATTACCAAACACATCTGAACTAAACATAAATTTTTAAAGAGTTTAAATCATAAACACCTGCTATCTTAACTTTTTGATCTTAAATCTCCAACCTATTTTAGAAAACCACATATACTTTAAAAAGTGATCACATTGCCCTTAAACCTGTATCTGACCCGTTAAATGAATTGTGAAATGTCGAATTTGACCTTACTATTTAATGAAGATCACCGCTCACGGGGTGGGAACTTAAGCACACCGGAACGAAGCTCATTGTTGGGTAAGTCCAAGCTTAGCCATTTGGTCACCGGAGAAGCATGCAGGATGTGTAGCTCGCTTGTTCAGTAGTCATCGCCGGAACTGTTCGTTGTAGCTTGGAGCTCGCTGATCATAGGTCATTTCTTGGAGTTCGCCAGAAAAACCTTCGGGTTGTTCTCCACTTGTCATATTCTCCATCTCTTATAATATGCTTAGATATGTTCTGTGTTTAGAAATTTGTAAAATATTGATGGGTTAATCTTTTGAAACGCAAAAGTTTCATTCCTCTTTTTTAGTTTTCATTTTCATTTTGGTTTTATTAGTTGACTTCTCGTATGCAAATTATCAGTGAGTAAAATTTCCATTTGGTGATTGTTTTGTTGGTATATGAAGAATTTGTTATGGGTTTCTCTGTAATTTGCCATTCCTTCTACATTGGTTCTTTCCTCTTTTTGGCTGATGAGAGAATATGGATGTACAGAAAAGAAAATTTCCTGGGTCTGTTTTTTTACATGAATCCATCCACAGCGTTGTAGAATCTAGAATTTATCAGAAGTCTATATCTTCCATTTGATTTGAGTATCTTCTATGTATATAAAATGATAATTAAAAATTTGAAGTATTTGGCCTTTCTTTTTCTTTCTTCAAAATTTACTCAGCAGTCAAGTTCATCATTTATGAATTTGCATTGAATTTTTATGCATTTATGAAGCATTGAGAATTCAATGTAGACTTGCACGCAACTATAAAATTTCTAAGGCACTTTTTTTGTCAAGCTCCAGGGAGAGGTGAAGATAAGGGCAGATCTAGAAATTGATAATGGGATGGGCTAAAATTAAATATAAATTTAATAACACAATTT